TGAGCTGCAACATTCACCCTTCCAAGTAATCCCAATTTTACGGCATTTTCCAAATGACTGTTGCTGCTCTCATGCTTCATTGTCCTCTCCGAAAGATGCTTTAAGTCCTTGTAACCTGTCCTCGACCAAGTACCTTGATCTTCACCAAAAAGCAGGCAAGGAAAGCAAAAGAGGGAATTATTCTGGATGCTCGCTGTTAGCCATTTCTTTTTAGCAAACCACTCAGCGTTAAACCCACGTTTAACTTTGCCCGCAGTCTGGACCATTTGGAAATCCGGTGGATGGTGGGCACCGAGGCGTTTTACCTCCAGTTTCTCTCCGAGACTAAGTGTCTCAAATGTGTGCTCCAGTAAATGGTCAACTTCATTCATTTTCTTCTTTTAATCGCTGGTGATGTTAGCTATATGCTGCTCTCTCGTCTCCTCTTCAAACTACACGTGACGTTTCGCAGCACTGCACACGTGAGTACTTACAGCCAATCAATTCTGAATTATGTGAGATGACGTATGGTGGGGATGGGAGCACTATGCCCCTACGGTCATTATTTTTTTGCCACACACATTCAATAGAAAAATACTCTGAGCATGCGCAGTGTAGTTTTTACAATCACCGTTCACTTAGACTGTGAGAGGGAGGGGCAGGATCGGGTTTTGTCCCACATGGCTCTAAACAGCTCAAAACGGCACTCTAGACACTAATTAGAAGAACACAGACTAAAACAGAAATGTACAGACGAATCAGATTATTAAACATGACCTTAAAATATATTTTATATGTTTTTTTATTTATTTTTTTGTATTTTTTTGTAATCATTATTTGTAATACTTTCTTCTGACACTAGGTGGGGCTGTGCCCCACCTGCCCCTAATGACCCGCCGCCACGCCGCCTACGCCTGTTTTAAAATGGTTCTTCAGTTTGTTTAGCTTCTTTGATTAAAAGCCTAAAATGATTATCAGACTAGTTATAGAATTATTTTTATTCTGATCGAGTAATCTACTAATAGTTTCAGTTCTATTTTCATGAAAAGAGCAGAGCCTAACAGAAATAAAATGATCGTTAATTTAAGAATGAGGTTGTTACCATCCTGATGGCGGTAATTCTCGATCAAGACTTTTGCGATCAAGAACAATTGTTTTATGTCCGTTGATTTGAGCCCTTTGCTGTGTGTTGTATAAATTATATTACTGCTAAAAACAAATTTAATTATTTTTACTTAATCACCATAACAGCCACACATGTATGTACATATAAAACCATGTTAACAGGACTAGTAATTGCTTTTTTCAGATTAGGTGCCAGCTGACATGCAACATCAAATTCGGAACAGTTTCTTACCTGGGTGTCTTCTTCCTCAGCACTTGGAGGAAACCCAGCCGAATTGTCAACACTAGTACGAGTACCATTCCACTGATGGGGAAACATTATAAGCAACGCTTTATGGTGAGTACATTACATAGTTAATCAAAAATATCCGAAGTTTACATTTTTCTATGTTAACACTTTGTCTCTGAATTGGTCTCCAAGTCATCATTTTGTCTGTTGCACTTTAATATGAGTCCTGCCTCTCAAATAAACAGTCAGATATTTAATGGTTATTGTACTTCATGATTACATACCTCTGCATTTGGATCAATTGGTCTGGTTTTATTTACCTGAAATAGAAAGGCATTGCACTTAAATAGGAAGTAAAGTGTAACTGTGACTGCAGGAATAATACAAATTGAGACACTAGATAACCCTAAAAATATATGTTTAATTGTGTTCTGCAACAAATACAGAATCATTTAAGCTGTTACACTTCAGTAGAACAATATGTGTTTTATAAAGATAACGTGTATCTTAACCATTGATGTAATTCAGATTATAACATTAAGGTCTGACTTTGTGGAAAGAATTAATGAAGTGAAATGTTTGAAAACCAAGTTATCAGTGAACATCTATAGGTGTTCAGTCCAGAGACATTTTCTGTGGGCTCAATATAGTTCCTATTTAGTGGCAGCCCAAACCAGAACCTTTCTTTGAATTGATGATCAAATGTAATCCAAGTCATTCAAACTGTCAAAAGCAGGTGATCCTATTACCACGAACATTTGACTCTCCCATTGTAGAGTTGATTGTGGTGTTAAAGCCAGCAGGACCTCGCATCGGTATTTGACTTCCTGGTGGCCACTGGAAATGTGATTTTAGAATGATTAGATCCAAAGAGTGTTTGCTTGGTTGACAGTTTATTTGCAAAGAAAAATTGACATTTGATAAAAAAATATATAAAATATTAAAAATAAATAGTATCAGTATGATACATTCTGTCTGTCATTCTCTTCTGATTTTTTAAAAAAACTATGGAAATTAAATGTTTTCTAGTTTAATCTAATCTAAGTTTTTTTAATCAAAATTAAGGTTGCAATAACTATGGAAGCAAATAAATGCCATTTAGGATTTGTTTTATTACCGGATACAAACATTATGACATCTGAATATCACATAATTTATGCTATGAAAAACAATTTTTACAAAGAAAACAATGTGTCATGTTTAATAATTCAGCGTTGTAAATTGTAAGTACTAGACAATTTAAAGTATATGCAAAAGTGTTTCAATAAGACAATTGGGTCATATTCAAATTTTTGCTACGTTCTTGGCTACCATACATTTTGAAAACTGCAAAAGTAACATTCAAGTACATTTAAATTACCGTAACGATATAAAAAAAGGAATATTAGCAGTATATTTCATCAATTAGTTGTTTCCTTTTTCAGTATTTTCTCCGATCTTACCACAGCAGATTTAGTCAATGCTGCTAGAATAAATCAAGATTAAAGTTTAAAATAATTTGTAGTTTCGAAAATTAGAGGAAAATCAGCAGTTTTACCTTTGTAGCAGATGATATTGTGAGAACGAATCCCAGAAACACAGCAATGTGAGCCCTCTCATGTTGAATGTAGGTTAGCCTCCTGTCCGTCCCATACAGTCAATGGTCGGCGCATAACCCAACTTTATAGTATCCATGTCAGTAGGTGGAGTTTGTTTCAGTTTTTGCATGCACAAGTGTTTTGTGTTTCACTTGTAGTCAAAGTCCATTTTACTCATATATCAGCCCTTTTAAGGACACTAACATTTGATTTAAAAAGTGTATTTATCGCTCATCCCATGGAAAATGGTGACATTACTTTATCCACAAAGTCTACCCACCATAAATTACTCTTCTTTTGTTACCCTGCTCATCTTCACCTATCACCTATTTGGATTAGAAAAAAACGTAATACAAGGACATAACAATGTTTAGATAGTAAGGACTTTGACATTACATTTCAAACATTGCAGCTACAAGATCAATAAATCAGCCCACTTCATGTTATAAAGCGAGTTTAGAGCTTTTTAGCAAATGAGAATTTATATACAGAAAGTTCTAAAATAAAACATAGAATTGTTGTTTGGAGTTGGTTTCCTCCACTTTTATGATCACCAGACTTACCCTTTTATATTTGAATTTCTATATTTGTATATATATATATATATATATATTTAGATATTAATTTCTGAATTAAATTTTTTTCATTGTTTTTAGAAATGTTCAGTGATGATTGTAGGTGAACAAGAAATGGAAAAAACCCTGAGATCGACTCTAATGTATTTTACAGAATTACTTGAGAACAGGTGGTGGTAATGTGCCAGCGAAAGCAGTAAAGAAGAAGAGTGCACCTTAACAAGGTAGCAATCGGCTTTTGAAATATTTTATTAGGAAGGACATTTTTGGGGGGATTTTATGGATAACAAGGATATACATGATGCATTTGGTGAGTAACAGATTCTTCTCCGCATGGAAGCAATATAAGTTAAAATACGTCAAGTTAATATTTAATACAATAACAGTTTTTTTTTTTGTGACCAACTTTTTATGTTTTTTGTTGTTGTTTGCCCTCACGTGGCCTTTTATTGTGGCCAGCCTAAGGCACACCTGTGCAATAATCATGCTGTCTAATCAACATCTTGATATGCCACACCTGTGAGGTGGGATGGATTATCTCGGCAAAGGAGAAGTGCTCACTATCACACGTTTTTTTAGATTTGTGAACAATATTTGAGAGAAATGGTTATTTTGTGTATATAGAAAATGTTTTAGATCTTTGAGTTCATCTCATGAAAATGGGAGTAAAAACAAAAGTGTTGCATTTATATTTTTGTTCAGTGTAACAATGGATTAATTACAGCATTCATATCATCACCAATAATAATGTCATAATTGGTCATTTCAGAAATTACTTTTGAAAGTGATTCAAAGAACGTAGGTTCATATAAGTTAGGTGCATAGCTTGCTATTAAAGCTATCTTTCTATTGCAAATGACTCCTTGAAGAGAAGCAATTCTTCCTTCTTTGTTAACAATGTGTCATTTTAAATTGTTGCAAATTAAAATGATTACTCCTTTAGTTTTACTGTTTGAAGGACGAATAAGCCACAACTTTATAAATATATTCCCAACTTTATGAATATCTTCAGCTAATATGGGGTTTCTTGAAGAAGAATGCAATATCAGCCTTTTTTTCTACCCAAGGACATCTTGTAATCTTTAGATTGGAGTTTAAAACCACCTACGTTTAGTGAGAGAACAATTAATCTAGTCATGTGTATCCAACCAAATATACTTTGTGGACTTAGTTATGCATATTTTAACGTAATTTGCAATGTCATATCCAAACCCTGATTGCTATTTGGCAAGATTACCCTTCCCTTCCCTTAATTCCCCAACCTTTCCTCCCTTCTCCTCACCCCAAACAAAAAGAGGGCCAAATGAAATAATAATATGCAATATCAGCAGATAAATAATAATTTCCCTCTTTTCGACTCCTACAACTCCGCTCCATTCAGCAGAGCTGTGGCACGTAGAGCAGTAAGCACGCTATGCTCAACATCCCCAGTATAACAAGTTGCACAATTCATTCAAAGCATTAAGTGACTAAATCGATGTAGCTGAGGTTGCACTGGCGCCGCTCTGCCTCTGCGCGCGCACAGGCGTTGCCATGACGCTGAATGGAAACCACAGAAGGTGAACAGAGGAGATGTACTGTAGCTGATAAAGTGAGCTAAAATGAGCAATTATCACCTGATAAGCACTGATTCTTTTAGTTCAGGTGGATTTAGTTAAAAATATCCGCGAGTCTGACGCAGGTTTAAAGGCACTCAACTTGAGTTTTGTAGTGTTGTCGTCGTGTTTCTGTTGAGCGGATATGAAGGCTCACAGCGGTGAGGTCGGAGTGTTTGTCCGGATCAGACCAACGGCGAACTTCTCCCAAGACATTATTGAATGTCTTCCTGACGGACAGGTAAAACACAATTTAGTCGGAATTAAAGTTTATTTAACTTCCCGTTGATTTTATTTTTGAAAACATAAAGCGAGTCAAAGTTTTATTTGTATTGAGGTTAAAAATGTAACTTCAAACTATATTTTCCCAGCAAGCATGATTCTGAAGCAAGTCAATCACGTGAAGCCGGCTAATTTAAACCGGTTGACGTTAATTCGGTAAATCCAAATAAAACGATAGTCTTATTAGCTAGGGTGTATTGGGGCCAAACCACAACTTTCACAAATATAACCACAGTAACTTTTGCCTTAGAGGCCTTTTTATGTCATAACACCAATGCCGATGTGTTAAAGCAAAAAAGGGTACAGGTGCAATCACTTTAATGAATGATGGCACCAATTCATAATGCTAGGTGTTAAGTTCCAAGGTCCTGATATGTGCCTGTTATGCATGATGCTTAGCAAGCAATTTAATGTAGGAAAGCATTCCATCACTGTTTTACTTGGAGCTGTTCCATGTCTTTCTATGACAACATTTCTAAAGTTATACTGAGTCAGTATGTTGCTTAAGGTAGTTGCTTTATTCATTTGCAACTGGTTTAATGTTTGTTTGTTTAATCGCTCAATCATTCATTGTTATGTTAGGCAGTAATGCCACTGGTTCCATCTCAGATATTCAAAAATAAAGGTTTCAAGGTAAAACATTGTATAGTGAATTTAATATCTCTAGGTTTTGGACTGTTGGTTAGGCAAAACAAGCCTTTCAAGACACCATGGCATTTTTATAGACCAACCAATTATTGAAAATGGATAAAAACAACAGATTCATTTTGATGTTAATGACATTAACTATTGGTTGCAGCCCTAGATGCTCAACACACACAGTCGGTTGCTAGTTGGATATACACCCATTTGAAACTACTGCAGTCTTTTCTAACAATACTGCTATATATATATTAAGCCTGACTTCATTAATAATTTGTATTTCATTTGGCACTTCATCTTGTTTTCCTTACATTTTAAACCTCTATAAATGTTGTGGCATAATGTCATGGAGTTAGTTTAAATAATAATTATATGGACAATCTTGCACTAATATTTATTTGTGTACATTCGATGGACAATCTGCACTAATGTACATTCTCAAAATATTGAAGTGACTCTTATTTTGTATGACTGTTGTGTTTTTATTTAGGTCTAAATGTGTCTTTGATTTTTATGTATACATATTTGCACACATTTTTATATTCTATATACATTTGTTTTTATATTCGGGATTGTGGGAAACAGTATTTCGATCTCTCTGTCTGTACACACAAACTGGAAGATTGACATTAAAGTTAACTTTAGATTGAGTTTGGTACACTCAAAACTTTTATTATGTTAAGACAGTGAATATTCATCACAAGAAAGACACCAAGAAGCCCCTCTGCCCCAGAAAGATTCAGCGGAGTTCCTGGTCATTCCGACTGGAGGGCGTCCTGCAGGATGTATCCCAGGAAGAGGTGTACACCAGAGTTTGCAGACGGGTGGTGCTGGGAGCACTGGATGGCTATAATGGTAAATCTGTTCATCTACATAAAACTGTGTTATGTGTAGTCGAGAGTTTATACCTGATAAGCAAGTTTAATGCATCCTTTTTTCTTTATTGAGCCAGAGAACAACACGGTCTAATAAACTCCCTGTGTGTCTTTCAGGCACTGTGCTGTGTTTTGGGCAGACGGGTGCAGGAAAGACATACACCATGACAGGCTCCACAGAATCATACAAGCAGAGAGGCATCATTCCTCGGGCCATTCAGGAGGTAACTCGCACTATGTGAAAGTGCATCTGAAACATCCTGACTGCTCCACTTAAACCAGGGGTGTCCAAACTACGGCCCGGGGGCCATTTTGAATCGGCCCCTCAGCAGATTAAAAAACTATAATGAAATATGGCCCACAAATTAAACTTGTGCATGTCTTGTATTGTACATCTTAAATATATATGTGACGTAACATATATTACACAGTAGTATTCATGTGTTAATGAGCCCATTTTTCAAAGTAATACAGTCAATTAAAGTAGAATTCTTTTTTTGTTGAAAAGTTGATAAGAAAAAAGCCCAATAACTTATTTGTATAACAAGCTTGAAATATACCCTTCCTATTTCCCCTTATTGTAATCAATCTGAGGCTCCTGTTTTAAGGGATGAGCTGCTACAAAACAAATGAAGCCCTCTGGAGAGCTGGGATGTAGGCAGTTTTTTCTTAAGGCATATTCAAGTAACAAGCATAATTTACCTACATTTGATTGATTTTACTAACTTATAACTTCACTTATGAGGCAATATACCTCAACTTTAGTATGTGGCCCTCGGTGAAAAAAGTTTGGACACCCCTGACCTTTCATATGGTATTCAGGTGTTTCAGGAGGTGCAGAAAAGGACTGAGCACACTTTCTCTGTATACCTGTCCTACTTGGAGATCTACAATGAGACCCTGGTGGACCTGCTGGCCTCGTTGCAAAGCTCAGCACACCCCAGTCCACGTAGTATGGTGATTAGTGAGGAGCCAGGCAGAGGAGTGTTCATCAGAGGTCTGTCCCTTCACCCGGTCCACAGTGAGGAGGAGGCTCTGAACCTGCTGTTCGAGGTGCGTGTCTTCATTTGACCAGCAAACACAAAATGACATTGTTTCAATGTTTTAAACTGTTGATCCATAGGTCAAGTAGCATTTTTTTCTAACGGTACGTCCACACGGCAGTGTTGCGTGCTTCAACGGAGACGCTTCCCATTCACTTTGAATGGGGTGACGTCACGCTTTGCCGAACTGCATTGTGTTTCCGTTGCGTCGCTTTGCCTCCGTTGTTCGCTTCGAAAGTTGAGAAAAGACACTTTTCAAGCGTCGACGGAAGTGCCAGCCAATCAAATCATATGCCAGTACAAGCTCTCGCCAATCAAACTGCGTGCTTTTGTGTCCGGGGCGGGATATTAATGTGATCGGTTGTTGGTCGCGTCCACACGGCGGCGTGCGTTGAAGCTTGCCGGTGGGCGTGTCTGAAACTCGACCAACAACCAATCACATGAATCTCCCGCCCCGGACACACAAGCACGCAGTTTGATTGGCTAGAGCTTGTACTGGCATATGATTTGATTGGCTGGCGCTTCCGTCGAAGCTTCAAAAGTTGAACATGGCTCAACTTTTGAAGCGAGCAACGCTAGCAAAGCGAAGCAACGGAACCACAATGCAGTTCGGCAAAGCGTGACGTCACCCCATTCAAAGTGAATGGGAAGAAGCGTTGAAGCTTCAACGCAAGGCGCCGTGTTTCCACTGAACACATGACCACAGCAAAACATTTGAAAGTGTATTACTATTAACTAGTATTTAATCCTATTTTTTATGCAGTTGTTTGAATGGGTTTTTGATGGTGGGAGCTGTATATTTTGTTTGTTTTAATAGAGAACCACATTTTATAATTGACCCTTCACAAAACTGTTTTCTCTTTGTTCAGGGTGAGATGAATCGCGTTATTGGATCTCATGCATTGAACAGGAACTCCTCCAGGTCCCACTGTATCTTCACTTTGCATTTAGAGGTATGCCTAAAGAAATACCTTTTTAATGTTTTGCTTTATTGTTTTCTGTGGTGTTTTTTTTGTTTAAATATGCATACGATTTTAAGCAGAAGGAAATGTCTTTCCCAATCTCAGTCTCACTCACGGACTCTGTCTGATGCCAAGTATGTCACCTCCAAGTTGAACCTGGTGGATTTAGCTGGGTCAGAGAGGCTGGGAAAGACTGGGGTGAGTCTGAGACTGTCTGACTTTACCAGTTCACATATTAAAATAGTTCGTTTTGCATAATATGCGCGTTCTAACATGTTTCACCACTTGAATAAAGTCATGTCGAGTTGGGATTTTAGAGTCACCGAGTCTATTTCACTTTTATGAAGAATAGCTAAATGTAGTCTTTTTAGAATGATCCGTGGTCTAACTTCATGTAATGCCACCTTCCTGCTCTTCCAGTCAGAGGGTCAGATGTTCAAGGAAGCCATGTACATCAACAAGTCGTTGTCTTTCCTGGAGCAGGCCATCCTGGCCCTGGCCGACCGTCGCAGAGACCACGTTCCCTTCAGACAGACTAAACTCACTCATGCCCTCAAGGACTCATTGGGTGAGACTGCTGGCCCCTTCACTTCTAACAACGCTGTTAGCTGATATTTGATGGTCTATATGTTTTTTTCTCTGTGTACTAATACTTGAAAAACATTTATTTTTCAGGAGGGAACTGCAACACTGTGCTTGTGGCAAACATCTACGGTGAGGCGTCCCAGATAGAAGAAACAGTAAGGAGTGGAATATATTATATAATACCAAAAAATAGTAAATTATGTCATATAATCTCTGGATGATAAGAAATATCCTTTGCAGCTCTCTACACTGCGTTTTGCCAGCAGAATGAAGTGCATCCGGACAAATCCTGCTGTCAATGAACACATGGATCCAGCTGTAAGTTCACAGGAAATGACACTTACCAAAAAATATGACATGAAAACTCAGCTAGGAATCATACATTTGTATTATTTGACTACATGTTTGATATACTCTCTGTCAGTCATCAGAAAACAGTGATCTCATGAAACGTTCTGTTGTGATTAGGCTCAGATCAAGAAGCTAAAGAAGGACGTACAGATGCTGAAAGAGGAACTGTCCTTCGGTAATACATTGGTGAGTAGAGCTATTATGAAAATTGTGAAACTACGCACGTTGTTATGTCTTTGTCAATTGTCCTGGTTTTTTATTTAGCTAATTGGCAACTTGAGCTTGCAGATCATTTAAAAAAGCCTACAGTAGCGGGGCAATCATAGTAATGGCATTTTGCAGTGGTTTCCCAAACACATTCCAGTTGCTTCACATGAGAAGGTAAATGACTAATATTCACACTTCACTAGGTGGACCGGCCCAGCGTACCGTACGATCCGTTGTCTGAGGCCCAGCTGGCCGAGATCGACAGCCAGGTTCAGAGGTACCTGGAGGGAAGCCTGAAGGAAATCAGTGTGAGAAGATGTACAGAAATACAACAATACAACATTTTAGAATCTACACTTGAAGGCTTTAAATCTCTTTCTGCATGACATCTAATTACAGATCATAAGTGTCAGTCAGGTCCGAGCATTATTCGCCAAGTTCAAGCTGGCTGTGCAGTAAGTCTCATCTACCCTTTTGAAATCAACAACCTTAAACAAGTAGGGTTTCTTTTAGATGTTAATGGTAAGTCATTCCACATGTTTATTTATGTCTGTGAGCAGGGGACAGGAGCAGAAGGTGAATGCTCGATTACGTCAGACCTACAACTTGGGGGAGGAAGACCAAAGAGCTGATACACCTGCTGTCAAGGTCAATCTACTTCTGATTCACTGTTCATGCCATCTCGTGGAAATGAAGAGTTGTTGTGGGTGTTAATTTATTTACTGACAGCCTGTTTGGTAAACAATTCACTGTAATTGTGATATATTTAAGCAATAGCTCACGACAGGCCGTGGTATATGCTCATTATATCACAGCTAAGGGGCGTGGTTCAACCCCCTTAGCTGTGATATAATGAGCATATATCACAGCCTGAAGTGAGCTATTGTTTTTATAAAACGGTTACCAAGTGTGGCAATATGAAAGAAAAATACACACTCTAATTTAAATAGTTTTTATTAGTAAATGATGTAATGATGTTCAAAATAAAATAGTCCCTCCGTTGCCTTCTGCACAAAACATAGTTGCTATGCAACAACACTAACAGCTAGCGAACATATTAGACAGAGAGCGTTGATCCATTATTTGGCTATTTATTTACATTCATTTGTATGTTGCCGTTTATTGTGCAGCCACTGAAAAACTGTCCAGCATCAGTAGAATGGCTTACGTCAGGGATGGGCAACTTTGATGATGGTGGGGGCCACATCATTGATGTACTGGCCACCAGGGGGCCACATATTCACTTGGAACACACACACACAAATTCCATGTATGTGACTCTGACATCTTCAATGACATTTTACAATCTTTCAGGGAACATCCTCTAATAAGCTCACTAAGCAAATATCAGTTCACAGAAATGTTATTTAATTTGCACAAGTGGCATGTTTGTATTGAACAGGTTATTTAACAGTGGAATAAAACAATTTTAAACTATTGGAAAGCACGGAAAATGTGTGTGCATTGAGATGAACCATTAAGAGGACATAAACATGAAGTCATGAACACTAACCCAGACGTTAGTTGTCTAACTTGAACACTTGCATTCCCCTTATTCCACAATAAGGGGAATGTCAACACAGACACCTGTCAACCCGCACTCTGCGGTTCCTCAGCGCCGGTATTTGAAATCATGTACACAGCTCGCGACGTAACTAGGAGTCTAGTGGACGGTATCAGTACTACAAGTAAAACCAATTTTTATTTTATTTGATTAATTACGTTGTTTATAAATTAATCTGAGGGCCGCAAAAAGAGGAGGTGGGGACCGCCATTTGCCCATCCCTGGCTTACGTGGTTACTTGTTGAGGTTGTTCTAGGCTGTTGCTTGGCGTGGCGAGAGTATTGCTCCACTTTCTCCGGTCCCCGAGATTCGGCTTCCAGTAGCTCTGGAGAGAGCTTTCGCACCTGTGGCCACTAACGGTCATAATTTATCTGCTTTGTTTCAAGAAAGCTTTTGAATGGAGGTACTTTTCCAGTTGGTCTATACCTGCTCTTCATGTAGCTCTGCATGTCGTTGTTTAGATGCTTTTTTTCTGGAGATAGGCACTCCTCAATCCACTCCTCCATAGTAAGACCCCCCCCGGAGGTCGAAGTTAATCTTAAATGTTTCCATTTTATGCTTTGTAAGTTTGTTTCGTAACGGAAGAAATGTATATTTATAAAACGGACAAGTCAAATCAAGCAATATGATTGGTTGATAGCGTTTTTGCGGACCTTTTTGATTACAGATTTGAAAACATCGTTGCTTGCTTCAAAAGTAGCACAATTCATAATGTCAAACCTTGGAAAGTATCTAGATATCCCTGCCCTAATGCCAAAGGAACTGCACACTGAATATGTTTTGCCGTTTGATGTCTATGTCTGGACCGCTGCGTAAAAAGGGGGGTTTCTGCCCCGTTACTTCTCCGGTGTTTTCTTGTCCCAGTTTGAAAAGCAAACTGCAAAATTGAAAAGCAAACTGCCAGCCCAACTGTATACAGTATTTCTCAGACGCGGAGGGATACTGACTTGTTGTGAAAAGTAACTACAATTCTACCCGTGGTATACGCTCAGTATATCACGGCTAAGAACCAATGAGATTGCTTGATTTGACTTGTCCGTTTTATAATTGACTTTGTAAACTCTTTTAGGAGTGGGATACCAGAGGCAGCACTGAGGAAGATGAGGCGGGCAGCTTTGAGGTGTCACACAAAAACACCCAGCGCCCGAGTTCAACCAGAGCCAAAACTAAAAAGTCTAAGGACAAACAGAGGTAAGGGAACATTTAGTTTGAACTTTATTCCTCCGATGACTGATTCTGATCGTCTTTTTAAAGTATTCAAAGATAATAAGTACATATATTTGTCACTTTCAACCCTGATAAGTTTGCATGCCTGGATTTAAACACACCACTTTTCCTAATGACGCACTCAATGTGATTATTCAGCCAAAGCAAGAGACAAGGAGAGGAGAGTCCGCTCTCTAAGAAGCGTTCAGACTCTGCCTCCAAACCAAAGTTGAATTCTGTCCAGAGCCCCGAAAGGGAACAGGAGTTTCAGGAACCAGACACGGAGAGCCAGGAACCACAGGAGTCACAACCAAATGGCAAAGAACCCTTTCACCCTGAGTATGTGTTTGTGCTATAAAAGGGTCAGCTCAGATATCGCTGGTAGTCCTACACAGTAAATGTAATGTGACGTTTTATACCATTGCTGTCTCTGCCCAGCTCTACTCTTACCAAAGCGGAAGCCTTTGATGATTTTAAAATGGGCAGAGGCAGCAAGCTAAATCGCATCCTTCAGGAGAACAAGGCTGTGCTACTGGAGCGCCGCAGTCTTCATTGGCAGTTAACTGACAAGGTCAACGCTGTGAAGAGAGAGATCGACTGCACCGCGGCCACCATGCAGCAGTACAGGGAGACGAGAGGAGGCCAAGGTACTTCCAATGTTTGGATCATTACATGACCCTTTGATTTACTTTATTTTTTATTAAAGGGCCCATGTCATGCTTTTCCGGTTATTACCCGTCCCCTTGTGTGATATGAAGGAGCTCCAACAAGCCGTTTAGGACAGAGTGAATACACATACTTTACAGAGATGCTGTATGAGAAACCAATGTGAGTTTGGAAAATTGCACAATATAAATCTATTCTAGTAGACCTCAACAATGGAAATATGATCAGTAGAAATGGCCATGACATGGGACCTTTAAATACTATTTGTTGTTTTCTTCTGATAGTTCCCCGTACTATTTGAAGACCTATTTTCAACATACTATACAAAGATCTTTTAAAACATATTTTTGTATGTTATGACAGATTAAACTATGTTTTTTTCCTGATATTTTTAATCATTGTAGTAATTATTGAAATAATGCATAAAAAGCATGGTATTTTATGTGGGAATAAGGCACGGTATAGTAGTGTAGTATGTCGTTAAAAAGGACAGAAAAGTCGTCGTATAGCATGTTGAAAAATATGACAAACTTACCTTTTTTGACCTACTACACAATGTATTTTTCTTTTACAGTAAGTAATATAATACGACCTTTTTAACAACATAAATGTTGTATACATTAACAACATACTATGACTATTTAGTATGTATACTCTTCTGATATTTTTTGACACTATAATATATGTTCGACATTTTTAAGTATATTTTTTCTGATGTTTATCAACATTCTATACTGCAATCACATGTGGATATACTGGGAACGTAAACTATACCAGGGGTTCATTAAGTGTGAATGACTTCATTAATGACAGTTTAGAGAGCCAACACAAAAAAACTGCACACATCAAACCAAATCATTCACCTCTTTTTTAAATTGATAATTGTTGCTTAGATAAGCATTAAGGACTTCTTTTCATTTCATTTGGTGTATGAAGGTCGGTATTCGGAGCCAGATGACACCTTATTGAACCAGCTCAGAGAGCTGAAGGCCCTGTACCGGCAGAGATATGAGGTGCTGATCGACATCAAGGCAGAAATCAACTACTGTCAGCACCTGGTGGATCAGTGCAGGGTGCGTCTGCTATCTGGTCAGTTCTCTAAATATCTTTATCAACTTCTTACATGGCACAGCTCAGAGCTTTCATAGGTGCTTCAAAACCTCATACATACTCAATTGCTTGTTTGTGTCCCAGAGTTTGAGAAGTGGTATAAAAAGTATTTCCTGGTACCCGAGGAGGATCTGGAGACATCTATGGATAACACCCTTGATCAAGTGAGTCTTTCTGAGATAAAAGCTATGTAATGCTTCTGGTAGTATTCCATAAACAAACTAAGTAAAAATATATAACTAAATGTTGGTTCTGACTTGTTAATATCAGTGTGATGATAACCAGCTTCCTCCTGAGAGCTCCAGCTCTGAGTCCTTCCACAACGCCCGCTACAGAATGCTGAGAAGGGTGGGTTTGAACGACTTATTTCATTAAATGATATTACAAGAATGGTGTAAATACAGACCTCTATCACTAATCACCTTTGTGTAGCCTCCATCCAGAGTTAAGTAGAGATATGATTATCAACAATGTGCAGAAAGTGTAACCTTTAGTAATGTCTCCGCAGAGGAACACCCGGTCGCTGTACGTCACTCCAGAGCAGAGGAGCTCGTCTTCAGGGTCCGGACAGAGAACACTTCCCCCCCGTTAGCTAAGTGAGTTTATGTAAAAACTACATTTTGGTGAGCTATGGTCTCCACATCTTCTTTTCTCTTGGAGTTTTTCTTCATTCAATCAAGCAAAAAAGACTATATACAACAGATCAGCTTCTTAAATGAAAAGTAAAATTTATTATTCCTGAACCACAAAATAGACTTCTTTGGTTGTACAAATTCACTAGTTACAGTCTTGTGAGCTCTAACCCTTGACCCTAGAACTTCTGACCCTTTCCCTCTGACATATTTGCAAGTAAAAGTCCCAAAAAAGGACTCGAGACAAAAGAATAAACACAACAACTTGAAACACTGCATTAATGTAGTGAAACCCATCTGAAAAAAAAGAATTACCTACTGCAAGTAAAAAAAAGAAGATATCAACCATTGCAAATGTTATCAAACAAACTGAATTTCAGTCAGTGAGAGCAACATGGAAACTATGATTAAAAGACCCTACTTTAAATTAAAACAATGCTACTATGCTGTGATTCTGCAAAAATACCCATCAGATACATAAACTGACAGCATGTGGAGCAGTGAACTGAACAATGTCTTGAGGGGGATTTCTAATTGCTTCTGACCCCCGCAGCTCTTCCATTAACAAACCAATATACATGCAGAGAGCATCCCAGCACCAAGCCTGTAAGACTGACTCAGTTTCAACCCGACGTTTGCTTTCCTTTCAGTATTTGTACATTATTCACACAATAATAAAATGATTTTTCAGTGGCGTCAGATTTAAATAGACAGAAAAATAAAACACCTGCTACCTTCACATCACTCTGGAATACCTCCAGATAATTCAAGGATACAAATGAATGATTCACATTGCAAAATAAAAAAACAAGACCCTAAACAGGGCAGGGTGAGTACCGTTAATTATTAAATGATACTTGGTTCCTAACGTGTGATATGTTTATCTGTAAAAACTGCCTGCTTAGTGTAGTCAGATTCTCTCAATGGGGAATGTAACAATCACAGGTATGACCAACTACCGTGAGCAACAGATATCAAGAGATCTAATTATTGATATGCTTCTCTAAAAATGTGAATTCATAAGTGTACATAAAGTGAAATGAATTAGTTTAGTATTTAAAGATACATTACGATAACCATCAGTCATGCACTCCCAAAGGAGGTTAAAACAGAGGGCCTTCAATTTGAGTAAAACGCTAAAAACAATAAATTACTTAAGATATATGTTCTTTAAAAGTTGATAGGTGGCAGTGCATAAAGATATGTATTGTTTTTGTGTTTTTAAAAAGCTCTCCACAATTTGTGACTGAAGGTAGCAGGATGTTCCCTCAATTAATATATACACTCCTGTCCGAGTCTCTAGAAACCCCTGACATTTTTACAATCTAGTCACTGAAAGGCTAAAAATATAATTCAACAAGTTAGTATAGCTATGACCCATTTCTTTTCTCTTCCAGTATGTTCTTTTTAAACAGCAAAATCGTTAGAGGTGCAAAAATAAAAAAAATAAAAACTTCGGCCGCTTCCTTTTTAAAATAGATAAGCTTCTACTTGGTAAACCGAGTGTACAACAACAACAAAAAGAGAATGGTCTGTAAGTAGCGACAGCTAGCTAACCACACTACAGGGTTGTTGCCCTGTAGGGACTGCTCAGCAACCTGCCATCCACAGACTGGCAGCAGGATATAAGAGTGTCGTCTCTGCAGTGGTTATATATGGGAGAGGAAATCTCGCTCTACTGTGTAGTGTTTAGTGACTCTGTGTTCCACAGTGCATCTTAATGTGTGTGTGTGTGTGTGTGCGTGCATCATGTCGTGGGCTCTCTTCTCTCAGTGAGCCGTTACGTGGGCACGGCGGTCTCCAGGCTGCGGCGGCCCTGCCTCAGTTTGCGCTTGTTGCTGTACAGGGCCATCTCCTCCAGGGCCGAGGTGGCAGGCAGCGGGGGGGGCACCTCAGCCTCAGGGCTCACAGCGGGAACTAGACAAAAAAACAAGAACAACTTTAGTCATCATATCTATCGAGCGTCTGCAGTTCAGCTTCTCTATACAACTATCACTCCCCAGCGGCAGCTGCAGACTAAGGGAAGAAAGACGAAGACAACTGGAAAGAAGATCCCTGTGGAGCGTTAGAATGAGGAGCAAAGTGGGGGAGCCCTGAAACCTGCGCAGGAAGCCCCACATTCACATCAGCAGCTGGAAACAAGCAAAAGTCTTTAGCAGCTGATTTAAACCCTCCACCTCAAGATCTAATTGGCAATACCTTATCAAAAAACGTTTGTTACAAACTGTGATTTCATGTTGGGGTTCTCCAGTAAGTGGATTTTTTGGCTATGTAAATACACTTAACTGGGCTTATTATTGGCATGTGCATGATAAAAGCCTTCAGACAGGAAAGAATGCTGCCAGCAGGGGATGCTAAAATGCTTACAATCAAGTGTCTAGATACAACTCCCTGTATGAGTTTGCAGATTGGAGAGAAGTAGTTCATGTGAAACAACAGCAAGATCACTTCCTGTATATTTTTAAAGAGCCTGTGACAGCCTCCCAACAACTGTTGTGCAATGAAATATTGGGCTACTAGTAATCTCAAACTGTCAGCTTAAAAAAGAAGGTGCGATACCGTTCCGATAAATATCAATAATTTCGAACATCGCGGGGAAATTCCTTCGACTCGTTTTGGGGGAAGCCGGAAGTGACGTCAATGCGGGAACGCTTCACTGTGCGGCGAGAGAGCCAAACACGGACAAAGTGTGTTGTCATGCGTAGAAATGGTGAATTACTGAGTTTAGGCACGTTAATAACGTTTTAATGAAGTTGACTACAGTATATTCATATTTGTCAGTGCTTTCATGTCAATTCGGCGAACATAAACATAAATGATCGTGGTGAAGATGATATTACATTAGGATTACAAATCGGTAGTGAGAGCTACTGAATTTCCTCCCGTCGGATGTGATATAAAAACAAATCGATTATTTTTGTAGTTGTAAACTCAAGTGGATGAAACTACATTTATTAGTGCTTTCATGTCAATTCGGCGAACATATGATACATTAAATGATCGTGAGAATGATGATTAAAAATCGTTTGTTTGAGCCGGTCTGCATTTCCTGATGAGAAAACCACCCGATGCTTTTTGTAGTTGTAGTACACCAACATGGATTAAACGTGTGGTTTTTTCACCACAATGTTGGGGAAATTAATAGATAAAATGCACGGATTATGATTATTATTATTCCCACTCCGATCGGGACACCAGGTCCACCGTTTCCCCGCAGCGAGGCTCTCCCCGTTGACAGTTTACGTGGGCTGGGTGCAGTGGCGGACTGGCCATCGGGACAAGTCACTCGCGGTACCGAAGTGGGCCGGTCGAGAGTCCCGGGATGATTTTTAGTCCCACTGGCTACATGACCGTATGATCGCCCATATTGACGCACCTAATTCCTAAACTTCTAACAGATACAACATAAACCGATCCTTCAGCCTCATATGAGCTCTCAGACACGTTCAAAATTAAACTGTCATCGCTGTCTGAGCTTGCTGCTGTGTGCGCCATCGTGCGTTTACATGCAGCTGCTGGGATCCTGAACGGTGCAGCTGGAGCTCTTGGCCCGCAATTACGTCACACATAATTTGGCGAGATTTGAAGAATCCCCAAGAAGTTCCAGAAAATGGTCAACATTGAAGGGCAGGTTTATGGTTATCAAAGTACAAATATCCAAAATCATTCAGTAACGGTTTCAAGGGGACAATATTTACTCAAATTGATGGGTTTGGATGATGGGGGAAACTCGTGTCACAGGCTCTTTAAGTAAAAGCCCCTACTTCCATGCAATATGCAAACTCATTCAGGCAGTTACAATAAAGGAGGTGTCGAGTAACAGAAAGGACATACTGACATCTATGAATGTGTCCTCATGTTCAAAATAATTCAGAGCGACACTGACATGTGTACGGTAAGAAAAATCAGTCACCACTACAATAGTTAAAGTCAGCTGACTAACCTGGTTTGCATGTAAACATAATAATAAAACCACTCAAAGCTTCCTAGTAACTATGTTCCTATAACTAGTTAGATCAACAAATCCATGCACATCTGGGTCGTGGTTAGACTGAGGTCATTAGTTTAAACAGGAAGTCTGATCCAGCATCAGATGTGAAGGGCAGCAGCAGGCGAAGCACACCCTTCTTAACACCTGAACTACAGTGTTAGGCCACACAACTGGCATGTTAGAGTATAAATGCACACATATCATAGATAGTCACACACACACACACACACACGATCCTACCAATAGGAGCTGCTTATCCCAGGTAGTCACCTGAATGAAAGGGAATAGAATGGGTAATAAATGAGTAACTTAATGTCCACACACTGTTTCCTCACGCTCATTCCTTACGCTCATTCCTTTCACTCAACCTGTTTTTGTTTCATTTGACTGACTGCATATCTGCAGTACTAACCTGGGTTGCTGGAGCCGTCGTCGATGAACTGCAGCTCTTCCACTGCGTCAGGGGACTGGAAGAGAGAGGAAGACTGTCAATAACAGAGTGTGTGTGTGTGTGTCAGTCACCTGTATCCCAGGGGAAGCCATCACCATGTCAACACTACGCGCTCCCAGTCTGTTAGAGCACCTCTGCTCCACCACTCCCCAGGAGAGATAGCCATGTTAAGGGAAAGGGAGGTTATGTTAGGTCATCAGGTCCGGGGGTTTGTTGTGTGGCAAACACAAAGAGACAGCCAACAGTGCAGCACCAACAAGAGTCACCAACGCACAACAGGAAACTTGGCACAATGTTCAGTTGGTTTTGTGTTGATGCTATTACACATCAACACAGATCATGTTTCCCCATGTAGATCTGTGATGAAGGGTTCTTTAAATTCTACAAAGGTGTACATAACCTGCAAGAGAATCATGTGACTGCTAGCTGATCTTATCTTACAGGACACGTCAGCTGTGGGAGTCACAATATTGTATTATGAGTTAAAAATTGACACATTAAAGAAAATGACATGTTTCTTTACTCAAACTGTCTTCATCATTATTCTGGACTGGACCAATCTGCATAATGAGTAAGTTTATTTTGATGCTAATACTTTTCTACTTTTACTTGAGTAACATTTTGAATGAAGGACTTTTACTGTAACAGAGTATTCCTACACTCTGGTACCATGTACGTCTTCCTCCTCCGCTAACAGTCACAGATACTTGACTGAGAAATGAATAAAAGCCCATTTCCAGAGAAGCTCACTGCAGGATGCTTCACCACCCATCTCTTCTTCCACACACAGAGAAGACCATGTCACACAGACTAACACAAAGCCTCCACCCTAACGAAGGAGCAGGAGGAGAGCCAGCGCATGATAAAAAATGTGATATAGGATGATATTTCTCGGCCTGATATGCGACCCATGCGAACAGGCAGCTGATGGAAGTGAGAGTGGATGAGATGCACAGTTTGTGGACGTTTCCACCCCAGGAAGAAATTTGGGTTTCTGGGAACCAAAAACTGTCCCTGCAGCTGGTGAGTGTTAGTGTCTGTGCTTGATTAGTATGGTGAGAGACAAATGGTTACTGCTATGGATGCTATTACATTGGTGAGTGATATGTGAAAGACCAGGAAGGTAGGATGGGGGGGCTGATATGGTGGGTCATTTACGTAAAGTCTCTTCATTGTATTCCAGTAATGTGTGTTGCATGTTTTAAATGAAATGTGTTTTATGTTGACTTTTAAAATCTGTCCAGGGACTACAGATGAAAAATAGCCTCTTGGCTAACTCTGGCACATTTACAGAAATGTTAATTAATGTGCACTGTCCCTGTTAAATAAATGAATACAAAATAAAATTGTAGAAGTAAGCGTTAGTGAGCCAATCCCTGTAGTGCCGAGCGGGAATTACTGACCAATCATGGAGCGGAAACATAAAATGGAGATGCACTGATTTCAGTTGATTAACAGAAACTAAAAGAGGCAGCAGGGAAAGCTGGGAGTGGGGGGTGGGGAGGCCGGAGCTTCGGGAACTCAGCATGCAGCCAATACCTGGATGTCGTATACGGGTTTGGAAGAAGGAATGGCAGCAAACTGTCGGTAGTCAAACTTCTTTGACGACAGGGACTAGAAGGATAGCAAACGGGAATGAGCAGAGGTCGAGGGAGGAGAGGAGAACAAGGACAGGAGGAGGCAGGACAAAGTATAAGAAGAGAGGAGAAGGAAAATGTCAGAGGAGAGGAAAAGGGATGAGGAAATAGAAAGGGGGGAGGCAGAGAGGCTAATGGGTGATTTAAACAGCCAGCTGTGGCACATGAAGGGAGAGCTGTGTGTTCTCAGCTCTGATTGGCTAGAATGACAATGAGCAAGATGGTGGATTAATGCAAATGTGATTTGATGCAAATCTACTCTCCTTTCCCAGCTTGTAAACAATCAATCTTATTCGTTTCAAATCCCAAATAAAGTTCCTTAAATTAAACTGCAGACTCACTGTTACAGCTCGGTTCAAATATCTGCCGAGTCAATATCTGCAAGTCCGCTCTAAGGACACATATTCACTTTGATAAACCTGTTAAAAGAAATTATGAAAAAAGATGAGTGCTTACCAGCCGACCCGGAGAGGTGACTCCTCGGGGACTGAGCTCTGTAAAGAGAAAACAGGAAATGAAAAGTGAGACAGCCTTACAGCTTATTTGTAGGGAAGTGGGATAGGATTATTTATATTAGAGATGTCCCGATCACATGATCGGGGATCGGAGCCGATCACGTGATTTTCAAAAGATCGGAATCGGGAGAAAAAGATCGGGGATCGGGATTTTTTTTTATAAAATATTTTTAGTATTTTATTTAATGTTACAAAACAAAAATGACCATGTTCACGTCTTAAAGTCGTCCTGAGGCCTTAGTTTGGGTTTCAAATTACACAACATCATGTATGTGTTGCTTCTTTTGGGCTTGTTTTCAGACCTGGTTGCTTATTTCTCTCAAATCTGGCAACAGATGTCCAATAGTAGCAGTAAGCTAACGAGAGGCTACGTTCAGCTGGTGACTCGGGAGTCGGGACAGAGAAATTGAAAGCGAAGGCGAAAAAAAGAAGCTATATCCATGTTGGATAGAATGGGTAGTTGGGTACTGTCATTTAAATAAAAAAATAACCTTATGGGACAACTTGAATGCTTTTTTTCTTTTTTTTCTCTTAATGCATTGCATAAAGATCGGATCGGAAAAATCGGTATCGGCAGATTGTCAAAATCAAATGATCGGGAGCAAAAAAAGGTGATCGGGACATCCCTAATTTATAGTTCTTTTTAAAACAAAAGTTAGTCAGTGGTTCACACAAGCAGCAGCTTCTTACCTTCCATAGGTGTGGGAGAGGGGGTGGGGGCGGGCGAGGGCGACTCCGTCAGCTGGTCGAGTGTCCCACGCTTCTTTCCGTCGCGAGACTTGGCGATGACCATCTGAGCTTTCAGTGCATCCTGCTCCAGAGACTTCATCCTACAGGAGGAACAACCAGCGTCAGATACATGGAAGCAGAAAACAAGGAAACAAACAGAGAGGCACACACCGCTACAGGTGGGGGCCGATCACTACTAATGTCGGGTGCTCCTTGTCCTGGTCTGCTGTCACAAACAACCAGTTTAATTCAATTTCACAAAAAAGAGGCAGGCATTCCAGGAAAAGGACTACCTACTGCCAGTAGGCCGACCCTTTACTCACACATAGCTTGCAAACTGACTGCGGGATGTGTGTTAGTATAAATAATAGAAATCAAGAGAACAGCAAGGTGCAAATTAAAAGTGCTGCAGGGAGGAGCAGAGAAACAAAGGAGAGAGGGGGGGGGACCTAGAGATGGAAACAGCAAAGACGTGCAGAAGCTTCTAGAGTCCACAGGAAGCACGGTCACTGCTTCTGCCAGTGCTTGCTTGGACCTCTCCTAACTCTGCCTCTAGCAAAATAGCCCAAAGCACCCCAGCACACCCCCACGATGCCGTGCGGTTGGCCCTGGGGGCTGGGGCCAAGGAGCAGACCTGAGCTGGGAGGCTGCAGAGGAGGAGGAAGAGGTGGGGGGCTGGGGGGCCTCGTCCCGGCCCTGAGACGCCCTCACTCTGGCCTGGTAGAGCCTCTTAGCCAGGTCCTGCTCATACTGCCTAACATCATCCTCTAGGCCGCAGGGCCTGGGCCCCAGGGGGCCAGGGGGAGGGGGAGGGGGAGGGAGGATAGAGGTGCACCAGGAGGGAGGAGGAATATGAGGAAGGAAGGAAAGGCATTCAGACAGGAAAAGAGAAGAAAACCAAAGAATGGAAGGTAAAACACTGACACATTTAGAAGGGCCAGGAATAATATATAACCAATTTTTAGAAAGGAAAATAAATACCCACACACAGGACAGAATGAACTGTGGACTTATGTTTAGTTTGACTGCACATAGAAAACAGTTTATTAGGAAATCAGGGACAAAGGGGTCACAAACCCTTTCATCAACACACAACGTGGGCTTGATGTTTTAGTCTTAGATTCACAACATTACAAAATAACCCCTAATGTAAGGGTTCATACATTTTGTTAATAAAACGTTTAATCAACATAATATTTGGGATTTTTTCTCTTGGTCACTTTAGTGAGAATAGATAAAAACCTGTTCAAAGACCTGATGAGCCGGTACACGTTGTCAGTCAGAACGTGTTGTATGTGTTCTAATTACCGTGCTGCCCTCCACATGGCTCTCTTCTCGGCCTCCAGAGCTCGTTTCTCAGCAGGGGACAGGTCCTTGTCGGAGGCCACAGACAGCTCGGGGCTCTGCATACGGAGCCTCTCCTGGTGCCGCCGCTCCGCTTTGGCTGTGCGGATGGGGGCCGCAGAGTCCCCGGTGTACGCTGGGATCAGACTGGAGACACACAAAGAGGACGTGAGGACAACGTGACAAAGACAGCAGCAAAGAGGCCTTTTAACATGTCGAGTGTGATGTAATTACCCAGTCATGGAGTTGGGTCTCTGCTCCATCCTGAAGCTGTCCTCTAGTGAGTTCCTCTGAGAATCTCCTTTACCATCAACAGAAGAAGGCCTGCATACAAAAACACCATTAGCTAAAGAAAAAATAAACACATCTAACGTAAAAAAAATAATATTCCGCTTCCTACCCTGAGCTGCCACAGTAGCTGGGCGGCGTGACGTTGTAGCAGGATGGGGTAGCGCAGTGCTGGGTGGGGGTGGACACTGGCTCCACGTTGTACTCCACTCCGTCCAGCAACACCTTGCCGGTGGCCTTCATCTGCGCCATCTGCTTCGCCAGATCCTCCTCCTCGTCCTCCTCGTCTTCATCCATCAGGTACTCCCGCGCCCGCTGCTCAAACTTCCTCTCTGTAAGAGACGCAGAAGTGTGAATTTCAAAGACAGGTTAGCAGGGTTTCTTATGTTCATTTGTTTTTGGCAGGGAGTGTTCAAGGAGAAACAGTAGGAACAAACCTTCTTCTTCCCTCATTTTCTTAAGGTCATCTTCTCCAACAAGAGACACTCGAGGTTTGGGTTTTTCTGGTGTCTGCTGCTTCACGTCAATCTCAAAATACTTCTGTCTGTCCCTGAAGGAGCGCTGCTCCGGGCTGCCCCGACCACCAGGAGAGGGACTCTGAAAGAAAGATCAAGGACATACTGTTGTCATGGCACCTTCAATCTTTAGATAGAACAACGAGATGAAGACCAGTGTTTGCTGCTAATGATTTTATTGCTATTAGCATTGTTGCCCAGCCATCAAAGAGGATATCACAATAGATGCCAGAGGAAAAAGTATCATAGACCAAGAAGAAGGAAACAAATTAGCCATTAAACAGAACCCAGCACCATGAGCCGATTTACAATCAATTAACTGGCAGTCCCATCATTGAAACAACATGGCTGCCTCCCACAGTCTGAGAGCAGGGACACCACCACCGATGGAGCCAAGCACAGCCGGACAGAGAACAGCCTGCAGCAGGGGGGGGCGGTGGGTACCTGCAGGTCCCAGGACGGCCTGGAGAGGCGAGGCACTGCGGCCAGGCTCAGATACTCCCGCCGGTCAGGAGAGAGGTGGGGCCTAGGGGAGCCGTGGCGGCTCAGACCAGCCCCCTCCTGACCGTCTATGACATCATCAAACACCTCGTTCATCAACTCAGGCTGAAAAGGCCACAGAGGTCGTCACCACACTGTGACGCTGAGTAACTACAGGAGGCTTCAGCTGATCCACACATTCTTTGATATTTTTTTCTCACAGCTGCCTATTTATTATTTTCATTACACTAGCCTAGTTTCTGCTACTGGGTGAAACTGAAAACAAACTACAAATGGTCTTAAAAAACAACGCGAATTCTACAAACCTGATCTTTTCAACTGTCTTTGAATATATTACAAGCTCCACCATTTTATACAGTTAAGAAATGAATGATAGGATCACAGACAGCTGTTCTTTTAAACTGTTTTTGTGTGATGTGTTCACTCACCTCTGGAGAAGGTTCCTTGGGGTGGAAATTGTTCTTGACACCACACTGGTCCTGTTGGGCAAAACAGGATGTTAGTAAAGTGAAGTTAACTCAGACTGAGGACACACACGGAGATACAGAGCAGGCAGACTGTAAATACAGAAAGGGGGGGGGGGGGGGGTTGAATATTAGTACACGAGCCACACATGGATGAATGGATGAAGACTGGACACCAGTATGACAGATGATGGCACTGGAGTACAAAAACCCACGATGAGCGCATTCCACACGTCACAGTACGTCACAGGCCCCCCGACACAGTGCAGGACAAACTGCTTCAGTCAGGAGGGGGCGGGGGGGGCAAGATCAACCAATCAGCATGCTTTTTGTGGTTTTGACCCGGGGGGGAGTCCGGGCTGCACGGCCTACCTGGGGGGGCTCCAGCACTGCCAGTGAGCGAGGCACAGCGGCAAACGCCTTGTATGCCTGCTTCACGTTCATGGGGAACTCGTCGGGCGAGGTGGGGGAGGGGGCGCGAGGCTGCAGGGGGGAGGTTTGGGTGGGGTCATGGAAGGTGGGGAAGGTTCATATGGTAAAAGAAGAGGAGGTGGGGAGGACGGACAGACAGAGACATGGAGGAGAGGGAAGACTATGAAAAAAACCAGCTGACTGAGGAGGAGAAAAGGTGACAGCATGGCGGCTGGTTTCATGAGACAGAGGAGGGGAGTATGCCAGAGCAACACACACAGTAGGGCTTGGAAAATCCAGAGCCATGACAGACTTATTTGTATGAGAACCTTTATGAAACAAACAGGAAGATATGAGATGAAATCGTAGCTCCTTCATTATTTACCGATCCAGCTGTGCTGCTTGCCAAAGCTAGAAATAACATTTGAGAGAGCAGTTATTATGAGAAATGATTCAGGAGCTCAGAGGTGAGCTGGGTGCTCTGATTCTCAGGTGTAGGAGGTCTGCACCTGCACAGACTTATCTATCCTGCACAGACTTATTCATTTAGGTCACCCTTTCTTTGGTTCTAGCTTCTTTGGAAACAAAATCATTCTGGTGCCACAGTTATCTGCATCTCTGCTACGAGTGTTTATGAGCGGTGTGCAGTCAGAGGCACAGAGCTGAGAGTGGAGAGAACACAGCACTATGTGGTGGTGAGGGGCCTTACAGAGGTCTGGGAGTTGAAGGGGGAGGGGCCATGCTGGAAGGGGTTAGGACTGTGGCCCTCCGGTGTGCCAGGGGAGGGGCTCTGCCGCATGCGCCCCACTGGCTGGATGGCACCCGGTCGTGTCTGGAGAGAGAAAACAAATTATATTTAAGAGGGATCACTGAAGTCAATATAGACTCAAATGAAATATTTGCTTGTACAAATATTAAATAACACTTTCACTTAAACCAAACTTTAAGATGAATGACAAATCAAAATGAATGGTACCTATGCTGAATATGAAACAGAGCCTATTTTACCAATGGATTGTTTTAACATGGTGTTTTTCTTGTCTTTATCACTTCTTTCTTTTTATCTTTACAATCTCAAGTATTGTTTTATTTTAATACAGAGGATTACAGGCTCCAAGGGTCCCAGCAGAAAGGTACTATTAGATGGAAAACATTTGTGTAGCATAAGAAATAAAAACTTCTCTATTTTTGCTTTTGGGTTGGAGCTCTTTGAGATTCTAATATTGTAACAGTTTAAAATGAATAGAAAACTAAATACACAAACAAAGGGTACCTATAAACAAGTTGTATTAAATGAGATTATATTAATATATTTGTAAACTGGTGTGATGATCTATCTCTACAATACACTTCAAACTCACTGAAGATGGAGAGTTCTCGATAGCAGTTGGAGTTGAAGTGTAATGAAGGTTTGCCTGTAAAAGAACATTTGAAAATATACTTGAGTCCTAACAGATAGTTACCAAATGTTCACTATTGGAAGATGCCAGGCCAAATATAGAGACTATCAGACAATGCAACACAGGCAGGGTTTACCTTAAGTATAGTATTTATTCTACTGTTAAAATAAAAAAAGAACAGTGTCTTATTTTCCTATGAAGCTGGAGGAGGAGTCACATGCTTTTCCGGAAGGGCAGTAGCAGACACGATAGCCAAACTAGTTGTTTTTCTAACAGCTGACGCATGTGCTAAAAAAAAGGTTTAACAATCAAGGCCAGAGCAGAGAGGGCCACGAGACCCACTTACAAAGCGGGTCTCCCTGCCTCCACACAGGGAGCTGCTGGAGGAGTGGTGGCTGGGCTACGAGTGGAAGGACAGGTCAATACGGTCAACTGGGAAATGCTTCTTCTATAGGGGTAACAATGACTCATGGAAAAGGATCAAATAAAGGAAAATATGGCAGGAGGATGGTGGAGGAGGGCTGGGTGTGCATGCTGCTCACCGGTTGGATGGTGGGGGAGTAGGGGGCGTCTCTGATTGGGCTCTCCGTCCTGTTGAAGTCAGAAGGAGGCGCCTGGAAAAGCAAAGATCAAACAGACATAGACTTAGTAACTGCTCTCACTCAGACAAACATAGTAGTAAAGAAATACAAGGTTCACTGGTTAGTCCTGTAGAGAAGTGCTCTTAAAGTCAAATCAGCCGTAAACTGTTGCTGATAAACATGCACCTTTCTGTGCAGCTTGCAGATCAGTTCCTCTGTGACTCATGACCTCCCTGGCAGCTGCTGGGACACACATTCCAGCCGGTCCGGACTATGCGCCGACAATGTGCCCAAATACCTGACGAGATGCCACCAGCTCAGGGCTCACAGCAAAACATGCACCAGTTCAGCTGGCACAGTAATCCCCCTCTGCAATGAATCAGTAAAGCTAACAGTATAAACCAAAGTGTAGGGATTTATTATATCCATTGGGGCCAAAACCGTTTTAGATGTACATTTCCATTTCTCAGCACCCTAGAAGATGTATGCAATCATGCAATAACTGATATTGTTGGCCCCGATAAATGGCATTTGATTTATTGTCATAATGGAAGTATTGATTAAACTCCTTTTTTTTCAACAATAGCCCAAATCTAAAGGATTGTTACAATTCTACATCCCTCCTATTGTTTTTGCTCACAAAATGGTACTTTGGACACATGCCAACCAAAAAACAGCTAAGGGTATTCCTTTGGGTTTAATTGACACGGCTTTTAAAAAAGTTCCACAAATGTCGTTGGAACTGTTTGATCCGTTTCAAGGGACACGAGTGAGCCAAACCACAAACAGTGCGCAGGAACACACCATGCTGCCTCCAAACCACACTCAGGCAGGCGGCTTGCCTTGCTGAACAGCCAGGGCTTCAGCTGGCCCTGCTTCCCGTAGCCCACCGGGGGTCCCGACAGGATCTGTTGTCCAGGAGGACGGCCCTTTCCTTTGCGATTGGCCACCAAGAAAGGGTTCTCTTTGAAGCAGATGGGCTGAGAGTCCACCAGGTTCTCCTCTTCTCCTTCTTCTTCTGGTGCAAATGTCGATGAGTTAATGGTTGTTGATGAGCCAGCACTGTCAGTAATGGAGGTCCCATTGGGGGAGAACTGAGATTCATGGAGATGTTCCATGTTCAGGCTGGAGAAGGACTCGGGGTCCGTGTGCTCCAGGGGATTTGTGGGGTTGCCTAAGCCGAAGCCCAGGGGCTCTAAAGGAGCTCCGTACTGGGCCTGCAGGGGAGCCTCCATGGGAGCAGTCAGACTGACAGAGGGAGAGAACTGGACAGGAGCAGAGAGGGAGGACAGTAAAGTCACACTGACAGAAGGATTGAAAGGAAAACTGCACTCACTCAGACAGAAACACACAAAGGTTATTACCGCTGGAAGGATTTAAAGAAAGAAAAGAAAAATGTGTTTAAATATAGAAAAACAATATAGAGGAGAAACGGAAAAAACGAGTTCCTACAAACATATTAAATGATAAACCGTACAATTTGTATCTTATTTTCATTTAGGTTTGGCCATTTATCTTTTATGACGTTGCTACAACAGGAGAACAAACTTAAAATACTGATTTTCACCAATATTAAAGTGTTATTTGAAGGTGAAACCTGTGTGATATAATGTCTGGTCCGCCCACGTTAATCTGTTCTTGAACAGGAAATGTGTGCGTCAGGACAGTAGGTCAAAGATAAAACAGGAAGTTAGCCTGTAAACTATAATGGATGTTAAAAACACACTGTGTTGTTATTGTACCGTCTGATCTGCTGATGTGATTTTTATTTAGTTTGACTTCTTTTCATAAAGTTTCCTGTTCATAGAATTCATGCAACTTGAGTACAATGTGTTTTTAACCGTTAACCAAACCTACTGAAACCAGACCCAGCTTGTAATAAAACTAGAGTACTCCTTTAAGAGCAGTTGGGAATAGTAAGGAAATGGTAATTAAAATAGATCTACTAAGGGACGCGTGTTGTACCCTAATGAATTAAGCCATTGTCAACCAAACTTTGAACAAATACAGCAAAACAAGAACAGATTTGGCAACAAAAAAAAATAGAACCTATAACAAACCACCAAATCAAATCTGGCATAAGAGAAGAAGAGTAATTCCCCTGCCTCATGACGTCCTTCTAAAAATAATAGACAAACAAGTCTGTAGCTACTTAAAGAGTTAGTCACCCCACTAAATCTTCCCTGAAGCCTAAATCATAAATTACTCGTCTTTCAGGACTTGTTAACTGCTGCTGAATGCAACTGGAGTACAGCCTCTTAGCATTTGCCTTTAATAACCATAGTATCTGATCAGAGGGACAGTCAGGCTCCAACACACCTTCAACTCCTACTGTACTCCTACTGTATTGAACGTAGAGGACGGGTGACATCGTTGAAGGGAAAAAGTATGAAATGTTTAACCTAACCCCTGTAAAGAAACCTGATACCATAAGCACAACCAAAGAAGTTTCATGTTTTCATGAACGACCAAAATGTCTTCTAAAAAGCTTCAATAACTTTGATTTATCAGGTGTGACCTTGACATATCTGCTGACAATCAAAATAGCCGCGCTAAAAATACAACACGCATTGTGAGCATTGTAATGTGGCTCCCTACATGCTGACTATAAGAGTCTGTGGTGTGATGAGGGTCAGTGGGATGGAATGTGAATGAGTGCCCTTTTGGCTCCGACTCAGACTGCGAGGGACAGCTGGGCTTCAGAGAGGAGAGGCTGCCATGCTGGGAACCAGGAACTGAACCCTTTACCTCCACACTGTACTACAGTATAGTGATAGCTGACTACATGAACATCTATTTATTTTTTTTATTTTTAAATAGAAAACTGTTTTTACCAGTAGTTTTCATCTCATCTGCGTCTAGAAAAACTCATTGTTTTATTTGAATGATTCAATTTTTAAATGTCCTTACGGGGACAATAAATTATATCGTAATTTTCTAGATTCCTCTCTTTTTTTTGGATATCTATTTCATAATGTCAGTCATTGAATGCCTGAATGTTCATTTCTCTCGATGAACGTTGGTAGACTGTAAACATCAACAACAATGACGGAAATAAATCCAACATTAACATTCTTGTAAGGGATTATACAATATTGTTTTTTTGTTTAAATATAATTACAATATTGTCAATAAACCAAAAGTTCCTTTCAAAATGAATGTATATTACTACATTCAATTCAGTCTTGACTCTTTCATGTCTACAAAAGCCAGCTCTGCAGCACATCATGCCTGACCCCTCACTTCCAATAAAAGTCACGGTAAACTTAAAAGTAAAAACCCACTTTGGCTTTATTCAAATTCCTAAACCACTTCTCAACCAGAACCAACTCTTGTTAAGCCTTTGGTCACAACATGCCAGCAGTAATGAAGGCTAACTGTGACACAGCGTGAGCAGTACCACGTGCGCTGGAGCAGCAAATCTTGGCGAGCATTAACAGCTGCAGATGAGATGTGCTTGAAGTTCTCCTGGACAATCTTACAGGCCAGAGCTGATAAAGTCCTGATAGCGTTCTATTTAAAGTTATGTGACTTAAATGGCAATAAAGATACAACAATCCCTAACCCCTTAACCAGTTGGGTGGATAACGAATAGTATCTAGGAGTAGATAAGGAAAAAAGCGTTCTTATGCTTTTGGTGATCAGGTTTCAAAGAATTCTAAGCATGTCTTAAACCGAGTCAGTCATACAATCTTCCATTCTCACCACACACAAACTGGATCACAAAAACACAGGAAGAAAGAAGACAGAAGGAAAGCATAAACCTAAAAACAGCCAACTCTCGCCGGTTGAACATGTCTATACTCACGTTAGGATGGGAACAGGAGAGCGCAGTATGTCCACTCAAACTTACTTCTCTGATGGCTTTGGGAACTCCAACTGAAACACTTGTCAGTCCCTCTGTGAGGATCCCCTTCCTCACTGTCTAGCACTCCACCCACCCAAGAGACTCCGTCCAATACAGAGCCAGACAAGGTTTAAAATATCGCAGAGGATAGGCTGGCTGAGAGGGGGCAGCTGTCCCCTTCCCCCCCTCCATGTCGCCACCTCTTACACGTCCTTACACTTTGGTCATACTTCCTTTCAGGTCCATCTCAATCTGTTGATACTTTCTTTTGTCTGGGTCTTGATTCCTGGTCTTCACATCAAACTCCTTAATCAGTCCTTGATCTTCATGACATTTCTTCAGTCCAGTTTGCTCCTATTTGATCTTCTGCATTGATGTAGGACTCGTTTGCATCCTTCTGACGTGATAAGTTGTATGGTTTTGACCCCGGGGCACTGTCAGTAATGTTGACATGGGGTTTTGCACATTCCCGCTCCTGGGGCGGTATCTAGGCGGCTCTAGGTCACTCAGTTACGTGGGTGTAAAAAACCCTGCATTATTCCTCCGAGGGGTCTATTCTGAGCCTTGAAGGCCATTTCCAACATAGCTCAATAGGGTTCCTAACAGTTAGTGTAAAAACCTGTGTATGTTGTACCGATGTTTGGAGATATTACAACATGAGGGGAGACTTACCCTGTTGAGCTTCTGCAGACTGGTGGTGGGCAGAGCCGCCAGGGTTTTGTAGTCAAGTTTCAAAGGTCCAGTGCCCATGTTCTGAAGAGAAATAAACAGTCATCATATGTAAGAGAGGGGGTGGGCTGAAGTTTATTACACAAGTGACTATTTTAGAAAATTGTTCAGCATTCTTTATAAAGAAATAATAGTTTATGACAACTCAAGATTTTATATTTGTAGGAACGGATGGGCTTGGGGCAGATTTCTTTCCCGTACGCTTTTTCCCTGGCAGTTACAGTACATAAGACGCAGGTATAACAGATCCACACTAGGTGGGTCAAATATGTAGTTACAAAAAAAAAAAACGTTTCTTCCCAATTTAGTCAGTCCCTAAACCTAATGGGCACTGTCGCTGCTATTGTATCTACATTAAATACAAAAAACATGTGTACCTATAGAGAGGAGTTATTAGAGGGTAATATACATGGCCTTTATGCTAGTTTTATTGAATTCTCTCATCTAGCATCAACAACCAGCTGCCTTGTCAATCATAGTAACATCTACCAGCAAGTTAAAGTACTCTCGATATAACTTTCTCAATTTTAATGTGTTACTTTTTTAAGGACATAGAGATTATTTTCTCTTGGTTTTCCATTAGAAATAACATGTTAAAATCCTGCGGCAGTAGTGCTGTGGTATTTCTGATCAGACTTCCAGGAAGGCTGTCTGCAGAGCTGCCGATGAGGAGTGTCTCACCTCAGTCTCCTCTTCTAGCAGGCGGTTTGCCTCCTCTCGCTCCAAGCGCATATGCTCCTTCACCAAGAAAGGAAGGGAAGGAGGAGGAGGAGGAGAGTAGAGCAGGGAAGCGACCCGACCAACCATACACAGTGATGCGATGAGAGGTGAAATGGAAGAGTTACAGAAGAGGAAAGAAGTGTTTCAGTGGAGAGATGGAGGAAAAACAACAGTGGAGAGGTGGTATGGAGATGGGATGATCAAATCAAACACACGAATAGTAAAGGAGAGGTGAGATAAAAACAGAAGGGAAAGAAAGGATAGAATCCGCACACATTAGAAAGTACTCTATTCATTAGCTACGGGAGCAGAAAAAAAGCATGCAAGGTGGGACATTGCAGGAATAGCTTTCAAACACATTACCACACAGGGTGCAGAGGAAAAGCTTCATTCACCCGGTAACAGACAAACTCTAAAAGCTCCACTCTACAGTACTGCGCAGACTTCTGCATTTTCTATGGAGCAAGAATTGTGTTATCTTACCTTGCTGCATCGCTATCTATCTGCTGATCTGATACAATTGTCCCTTTCCCAAAACAGTCATGGGTTTTCAAAATCACTTACCACTTTCTCCATCTCTTCTCGCTCCCACTGTGATGTCTCTCTCACCATCTCAGACTCCTGGGGGAAAGCAACATTTCAGATCTTTACAATTGTAATAAGGGTGTCTTTTTTTGATACAATTATATAAATGATTTCTGACTGTGTGTGCTCTAGAAAAAATGATCAAGTGCGCAGAGGAACAGAAAGAAGCATTCTATAAACCAACAAGCCCCTACATTCCTTTGGTACGGGCAGACTACCAAAAGCTCATCTGAACAAAATAAAACAACTGTGTTGGCGCTTTCTGGGAGCTGCGGTGAAAAGATAGGTATGTGCCGTGTGCGTGGTTAGGGAGAGAGTCAAAGTCCACGGGTGTTAAAAAGTCCACCTGCTAACACCAAACTGCTGTGGAAGCATAGTGTTGGTGGGACAGAACTGCTGTTCGAAACAGCTGATTCATGTGTTGACTTCCTGGTATGTGGAGGTACTGTGTTTCCCGACACTGTTTACTTCCCATATTCTGGGATCTTGGGCTTTGTCTGACCTTAACTGCACAGATAATGTTAAATTAGAAATTAAAAAGGGGCCCTATTATTATTTTCAGGTTGATATTTCTAGGTGTGCTTCTACTGTGACATGTTTACATGCATAAACGTTCAAAAGGTCTTTATTTTTCTCATATTGTGTGTGCTACAGCATCTCTTTTCACCCTCTGTCTAAAATGAGACCCAGTCTGCTCTGATTGGTTTGTTGTCCAGCTCTGTTGTGATTGGTCAACCACTTATGGCGCATTTCCATTGCAGGGCCTCGCTCGGCTTAGTACGGTATAGTTAGGCCTTGTTAGGACTGGCTCACTTTATGCTGTGTTTCCATTACAGTTTAGTAGCTGGGGCAATAACTATAGAAACGCAGTGTAGGCGGAGCTGTGACGTCATCTTCAATGCGAACCACAGAAAAACAACATCAGCCGTTAGCTGTTAGCACTCAAGCTCACAGCTCTGTTGTTTGTTCAGAAACTAGACAAAAGTTAAACAAGTACAAACCACAGACTGCCTGTGTCATGGCGAATACAGTCGCTGGTTTATTTATGTCTGTATAGGCCGTTGTTGTGAGTGTGGACGGTCGGAGCATATACTGCATTAGCTTAGCCGATCTCCATTTAGAAAACACGCATTTTAAAAGGTTTTTCGCCTGCCGTCTGTCTGCAGACTTGTCAAAGCATTAATTCATGGTTTTTACTAACCGGTATCAGTATGTTGTTAATTCGGCATCATTTAGAAACATGTATTACAATTTAATCACGGTAAAATATGTTCATTTTGTTGTAGTTGTAGCCCCCTTGCCAGCGATTCTCTCTCTAGTTTAGGCAAGGCAAGTTTATTTATATAGCACCTTTCAACACAAGGCAATTCAAGGTGCTTTACAAAAATGAAAGACATTCAGACAAAGGCATTTAAAAACAGTAAAAGATAATAAAAGAAACATTAAAAGAAAAAATACATGAATAAAAAGACATGAATAAAAAGTTACAGTGCAGTTTAAGATATGAATAGTTCACACAGAAGTTCCACTTTACTGATGAACACAACAGCTCAGTTTCAATTAAAAGCAGCGACAAAAACAAAAGTCTTCAGCCTGGATTTAAAAGTAGTAAGAGTTGTAGCGGACCTGCAGGTTTCTGGGAGTTTGTTCCAGATATTTGGAGCATAATAACTGAACGCTGCTTTACCATGTTTAGTTCTGACTCTGGGGACAGAAAGCTGACCAGTCCCTGAAGACCTGAGAGATCTGGATGGTTCATAATTTAGCAGAAGATAAGAAATGTATTTTGGGCCTAAACCATTCAGTGCTTTATAAACCAGCAGCAGTATTTTGAAATCTATTCTTTGACACACAGGAAGCCAGTGTAAAGACTTCAGAACTGGAGTGATGTGATCCACTTTCTTAGTGTTAGTGAGGACTCGAGCAGCGGCGTTCTGAATCAGCTGCAGCTTTCTAATAGATTTTTTAGTGAGACCTGTAAAGACACCATTACAGTAGTCGAGTCTACTGAAGATAAAAGCATGGACAAGTTTTTCCAAATCCTGCTGTGACATTAGTCTTTTAATCCTAGATATATTCTTTAGGTGATAGTAGGCTGATTTAGTAACTGTTTCAATGTGACTGTTGGAACTCAGGTCAGAGTCCATGACTACACCTAGATTTCTGGCTTTACAGTATCTGTCGTTTTGAACATTGCAGACTGAAGCTCAGCGCTAACTTTTATACATTCTGCCTTGGCTCCAAAAACCATTACCTCAGTTTTATCTTTGTTTAATTGGAGAAAGTTCTGACACATCCAGTCATCCAGTCATTCAATGCACTTACTCAGTGTTTTAACTGGAGAAATGGTTACGTAAATGTGTGTGTCATCCGCATAGCTATGGTAACTTATTTTGTTGTTTTTCATTATCTGAGCCAGTGGTAGCATGTAGATGTTAAAGAGAAGAGGCCCGAAGATGGAGCCTTGAGGAACCCCACATGTCATATTTGTCAACTCAGATTTGTATTTACCTATAGAAACAAAGTTGTTTCTGTCCTTTAAGTAGGATTCAAACCAATTTAGAACTGTTTCCAAAAGTCCCACCCAGTTTTTTAGTCGGTCTAGTAATATGCTGTGGTCAACAGTGTCAAACGCATCACTGAGATCTAATAATACTAACACTGAAGTTCTGCCACTGTCTGTGTTTAAGTGGATGTCATTGAAGACCTTTACAAGAGCAGTCTCAGTGCTGTGGTTTGGACGAAAGCCTGACTGGAACACATCGAAACAGTTATTTAAATGCAAGAAATTACTCAACTGTTGAAAGACTACTTTTTCAATGATTTTACCTAGAAATGGGAGGTTTGATATGGGCCTGTAATTGTTCATTACTGAAGCGTCTAGATTATGCTTTTTTAAGAGCGGTTTAGTGACTGCAGTTTTCAGGGCCTGTGGAAAAACACCTGAGTGAAGAGACTTTTACTATATGAAGTAGTTCTGAGGCCATGCAAGGAAAAACATTTTTGAAAAACCCTGTTGGAATAATATCAAGGCAGCAAGAGGAGGATTTCAGAAGTTGTATAATGTCCTCTAGGTTTTTATCATTAATCTGATGGAATTGTGTCATGATGTCTGAATTGATGTTAAGTGGACACAGAGACAAAACATTTGCTGTTCCTGATGCAGAGGCACTGACTGCTTGTCTGATTTTCTGAATTTTGTCAGTGAAAAAGGAGGCAAAATCATTGCACGCCCTGGTGGATAGAAATTCAGAGGCTACTGACACTGGGGGGTTAGTTAGTCTGTCGACGGAAGCAAACAAGGCACGTGCGTTGTTTTTGGCAATGATATCAGAGAAGAAAGACTGTCGGGCAAATTTCAATACCAAATTATAAAGGCCAAGTCTCTCTTTATAGATTTCAAAGTGCACCTGGAGATTTGTTTTTCGCCACCTGCGTTCAGCTTTTCGACACTCTTTTTTCTGCTCTCACGGTCATGGCCTTTCTCCATGGAGATATTTTCTTCCCAGTCACTTTACCTTTACCCTAGTTGGAGCAATGGCATCTATAACATTTGTAATTTTTGAATTAAAATGATCTACTAGCTCATTTACTGAGATGTTAGCAGGGGCAAGTGTGGAAAAAAAATTCTGAGTAAACATTTCCCTAGTGTTTTCAGTTAAATATCGCTTTGTGGTTACCTCTTTTTGAACATTTTTGTGAACAGAAATAGAGCTCTCAAAGAAAACACAGGAATGGTCAGAGAGTGCAACATCAGTCACCACAACCTCAGAGATATTCAGACCCTTTAAGATAATTAAGTCCAGAGTGTGCCCCTTATTGTGCGTGGGCTCCGTCACATGCTGAGTCAGTCCATAGCTATCAAGAACACAAAACAGTTCTTTAGCCCCTCTGTCCTGGGGGTTGTCAACATGGATGTTAAAATCACCAACAATGACTAGACGGTCAAAGTCAATACACACAGAGAGCAGTTCAGTAAAGTCATCAAAAAAGCTTGCACAGTATTTGGGTCGTCTATAGATATTTAGGAACAGAGCTCGAGAGGAACATTTCAGCTGAAGGGCCACATATTCAAAAGAAGCAAAGTTCCCATAAGATGTCTTCCTGCATTGAAGGGAATCATTGTACAAAATAGCAACTCCACCCCCTCTCTTATGCATTCTTTCCTGACTCATAAAACTAAAGTTGGGAGGGGTTGATTCGATAAGAACAGCTGCACTGTTATTTTGTTCAATCCATGTTTCCGTTAAAAACATAAAATCGAGATTGTGCTCAGTGATAAAATCATTGATTAAAAATGTTTTTCCTGCCAAAGACCTGACATTTAATAAATCTAGTTTAAGTTTGTTGAACACACTATCAGTCAGGTTTTTTGTAACAAGCTGTGGCTGACATGGAATCACTTCTAAATTTGATAAACTCACACAAACTTTTGAGCGCTTCCTGTGTCGAAGATGATTCACCGCTCTTAATCTATTACCTATCAACACAGATATCGGCAAAGCTACAGGCAGGCAGGGCCCCGGCATGTCCTGGAAAAAGTTGAGTGCCATACGCCCTTGAGCCTGGACCCAGCATATATCAGTCAGTGTTTGCGTTTTTTACACACACATCCTTATCAGTTTAGCATACTCAGTCCAACTCAGCCTGGTTGTTGGCCTGCTAAGAACCTCGATTTTATGGGGCCAGAAAACTGTGAAATAGTATCCGCTAGCCGGTACTATGCCAAGTGGAAACGCAACCAAAAACGGGCAGTGCACGGCACGCTTAAATCGCGCTGTAGTGGAAATGCGCCATAAGAGTTGTTTTGCCTCTTAGCCTATAATGTACAATGTCTTGGAGCGCTAGCCAATTAAAGTGCGATTCTACATAATTATGTCACCATGTTATGGAAGAAAATAAAGGATTTCAATGGATGCGTTTCAGGCAGGGGGGAACTTTGGAATTTTAACCTTTGCAGACCATTTACATGCACAAAAACCTACATAACATACCCCAAAAGCATAATAGGGCACCTTTAAGATATATAATCAGTGATGATATATTATCAGTATATAATCTGTACAGTACCTTCTGCATGATCTCCATCTCCTCCGGGCTCAGGTCTCGGTCTATAGATGAGATGCTCTCCATGCTGTTCTTACGGACGATGCCGGTGGCAAATGGGTTGGCAATGATGCCGGGAGACGCCTGGATATAGACACAAACAAGATGGTTGTTTAAAGTTTCTTTCCAAAATTAAAACAGATTGGGTAAATTTAGGAAAAAGTACGACCATTGATCATATGATCAACATTGCTGGCAATTTGTCTGCTCATGGTGTCTCACCTCCACGCCCGTCATTTTTTGTGGGTCGAATCCGTCACACATCAGCATGACCAGAGAGTCTCCTACAGCCCGGAGCACTCGCACCGCCTCTGTGTGCGTCATCCCCAGCAGGCTGTGGTTGTTCACCTCCAGGATACGCATCCCAACCTTCAGTCTGCTGTCTCTTGCTGCAGCACCGCTCGAACTCACCTGTTTAATATCAACCAAAGGAGAAGTTAGTCAAAAATACATTTGTAATTTAATGTTATCTCAAACACAACTCTAAAAACGTCGTCCTTAATAATAACGTTGTCATAAAAGCTAATACCACTTTTAAATGAGTGCCAATTCTCCCAGCATTGATTGAGCGCAACTTATTGGGATTTTACTTTTAATAAAATGGACTATTTTGAAAAATCTGTTGCTATCCACCCAATATGGCTTGTGCAGCTAATGCTTAAAACAAAACACTCTTTGGGATTCCTTCAGAAATGGTAAAGAAAAAGTATTTTATAATATTATATTAATATAATAATGTTGTTTACATACCTTAGAGATGAAGATGCCTTCATCTGTAGGGTCAAAGGGGTTTCCTGCGTGACCCTTGGCCCCTCCACGAATACTGATGCCGAGCTTCTCCCCTGGCTGCTTATTGATTACAATTTCCTGCAATGATACAGACACAGCTCATCAGGCAAGGTGGTGCAAGCATTTTCCAATATTATTAAGTCTATATTAGTACATGTATATTCAGTTGTTTCGGCGGACTCACCTGCATCCCAGGCGGGGAAGGGTCCCTCCGCACCAGCATACGGATCTCCTGCTTATTGGCCAGCAGCGCTCGCACAGCTTCCTGGTGTGTGGCGTGACGCAGATCGATGGCGTTCACTTCCAAAATTCGGTCCCCGACACGCAGTCCACTTTCACACGCTAGGCCGTTAGGAATCACCTGATAGGATAGATGGAAGGTGAGACACAACATGTATTGAAGGAGATGCAAACAACTTGGAAAAACAACAACTCGCAACTCTTTCAAAGTCCTACCTTTGAGATGAACACCCCGGGTTCATTGATGCCAAACGGGTGACTGGCATGATCACTGCCTCCCACAATGCTCAGGCCTAGTGGCCCGCCTGACTTTAACAGGATCACTTCCTGTTAGGGTGAGAGGTAAAAGACTTGTTTTAGCAAGGCTTTTGAGACTATTAAAGAAATCAAGACCAGGTGACAATCATTTCTACATCTAATACAAACAAACCAATCTACTGCCGGAGCTGCAACAACAACAACAACAACATATTGGCATTATTGACAACTGGAAAAGCTACACTCTATAAAAGCAAACCATTATTCATTATTAGCCTTCATACCATGCACCATCTTCTCTGGAACTGGACCGCATTGAGGATATTGCAGGGGCCAGATAAACAAACTTTAATGCTGAATGCCTGCAGGAGCTTTCTACAGCTTAGCTTTCTACATTAAAATATATTAAACACACTGAAGTCGCCCCTAGAGGTCTCACCTCGATGGGATACTCGTCCTCCATGCGGCTCAGGTTGTTCCCATGCATGGTGAGGCCGTCCTCCTCCTGGTCCGGTGAGTCTGAGGGTTCTGGGGGTGGAGGGGAGTGGGCTCGTGCCCGGGATTGACCTGGAGAGCCCCCTGGTGCATTCAGGTCTCGCTCCACCACAAGGGCAATGGTGGGGGAGGTGCCGGTAAGGAGTGCTACTGCCTGGTCATGCCTGGCCTCTGTCATGTCTACACCATTGATCTGCATCGACAGTAAAACCAACCAGGAGGGTGTCAGCCCACCAGGACGCTCCCAATTTTAACAGGCCACAGGGGCCATTGGACGATGAACATTAAGAAAGAAAGACATGCTGAAAATGGCATGCAGCCATCAGTCTTCTCTCATCTCTATCAAAGTGTTTATTCAACATCTAAAAAATTATGATCTGTTAATTGCAGTTTGTGAGTGCACCAAAGTGAGTACTGTTAATAGAAAAAGAAGCCAACACCTGTACAGAGCAACAGGAAGAGGCAGAGAAAAGGAGTGAGAGGGGGGAACAGCGGGCTGCTGCTGGCAATTTAAGCTGGCAGAGCTTCCCTGATACAGAAATGCTACTAGCTAAAAAAGCTATTTTCTCCCCAAAAAGTCATAGAAATGTAATATAATCAGTTAAAATTATTTTCCATCCCTTTTTTGCTTTTCTTACTTAAAACACAAGTCGAAATGTTTCCAAAAAGTTTGATCTTAAGTCAACAAAAACAAGAAAGGATATCCGTAGTATAATTAAATGACTAGTTTTGGTTTTAGATTAGGGGGAAGGTTTTAGGCATGCAAATCTTAAAACTATGCTTTGGTCCAAAGTGACACGCAGAGGTCAGCACTGACCCAACAGTACCAGCTCTTACCATCGGCTGATATGCTGCTGCATACAGGCTCCGCCAACTCCAACCCAACACCATACCCACCACCAAGCAGGCAAGGATGTGCACATTATACATTAGTGAGCATGCAGATGTGAGAAAGAGAGAAAAGAGGAAGCCTACAAATAGATTGAAATATAAAGAGCTGAGAAACTGCCAGAGGGAAGAAGAGAGTTAACCCGGGAAGAGAGCAAAGGGGATAATTCAGGAAGCTTTTCTGAGATTCTCGGAGCAGAATGTGCATTAAAGAAACAGTAATGAGCAGGAGCAGTCTAACATTTACCACACTTGGAAAAGGAACCGCTAAACTAAATCTTCTTAGTAGTAATGTGGGTACGAAAACATGCAATACGAAAGTTACCATTATGCTGGCAGAAAAAGCCAAGATTGGAGTGTGATCAGCAGAGGAAACAGTAGAGCATTGAGAGGTCATGCGGTAAGCCCTTAGTAGTGACAATTCTGCATCACTTCAACCAAAAGAGATCCATTATTTCTATCTAAAGAGAGACCTGGGTCAGAATTAGTAGAATGAGAGTTAATTCTGTGCATGTGGTAATTAAAGTAAGTCTGACTATCGTTAATATGGCAAGACATAGCTTGAGGGATGAGAGCATTGTTGCGGGCACATTCAAAATGTAAATGATAAAACACCTCGCATTGATGACATACATGATTTGTTTCTTTGACATTGTGCAAGATTGGATAAAAACTGCAAAACTGAGAAAAATGACCGAGATCTAGATCAACAAAGAGAACATCATCAGCCAATGCTCTTGATTAACATTAATCTTGTTAATTTATTAAAATACTATGTATTTAATTTCAAGCTATTCTTAAATCCCAACTGGAGACAAAGAAATAAAACTATTCCCTTTCTCACATCTGAAAACATTGTAGCGCTAGTGCTAATTTGATAACGCCCAGAGGGAGGTGTGGGGGCGATGAGTAGTACTCACGGAGATCACTCTGTCGCCGACACGCAGTGTGCTGTCTCTGTTTGCTGCTCCCCCTTCTGCGATCCGAGAGATGTAGATTGCCTGAAACATTGACAAATGTTAACATGTTTATGTACATTTGCTTATACATTACTCAAATGGATGTGCCATTTCTGCAAACGGTTTTTTCAAGAGACATTGTGAATCTTCTGCATCTTTTTCCTAATTATAAAAAAAACAGGCATGTGTGTCAGGGACAGGCTGGTGGTAAGGGGGTCTGGTGCAACAGGCTGCAATGCTGCGATGACTCAGTGTGCTAACTGTGAGCTGTCTGAGTTACCGGTTAGTCACTGTGTGGTATCACGATTGATCTGAGGCCAACATAGACCTTTCTATACAAAGTGTGCCAGTGATAATTGATAAAGGGATTCTAAGATAGTAGCAGGCCACAATGGCACAAATCAAACCCATATATACATGACAACTGATTAACAGCAGCCTCTGATCACTAAGACACAACAGGACTCTACAGTACAGGCAGCACAAATCACGACCTCCGTGACATATTGGCCGCTTTCTCAGGCAAAGTTGTTTAGCAAATAAAAACATAGCTGAATCAAAACAGAATATACAAACACATGCAGGAGCAAAGTCTACAGCACCTCCTCCTCAGATTAACAGCCAACAACAAAGTCACTGCATCCATTTCAAAAAGCTTTTGAAAGTGAGGCAAGACTTACAGACCTGCCTAAACGTTTATGAGTCTTTTCCTCTTTCCGGGCTCGCTGAGCTGCATGAGTAGCAATGCCGTTCTGCTCTGGCCCAAATATACACCTCGGCCCGTCCAGTTAGAGTGGACTATCAGGTGTCAGGGCGGGCTATTCATATCTCCGTCTCCCTGGTGATGTCTGTAAACGGTGCAGCTAGAATAGACAGATCCCTGAGACTGTTACTGTAAACACTTAGTGACCTTACTTCCCAGAGTATTATTAGCGTTTGTATGGCAGATTAGTTTTAGATCATTTCTGTATCATTTTTGCCAGAGTGCCTTTTCAATGTATGTTAAAGGGTTGGGATGATTCATTAAGGGCTGCAACTAACCTTTATGTACATAACCAAATAATCTATCACACATCATGCATGACAAATAAATCATCAAGTTTGACAAATTGGAACCTGCAAATATTTTAGGATATAAAAATATAATTTTAGAAGATGTTCTACACATTCTTTATAAAACGTTACGTCTAGGTTTAGTTAGAGTGTGGTTGGGGTGTGTTGGCATGTCTCACTGTGTCTGCTGTGCGGTAGGGGGTGGAGCCTTTGCCCCCTGCGATGCTGAAGCCCAGCCCCTTGTCGTTTCGCAGCAGGCAGGTGGAGAGCCGCTCCTGTGGCCCCTTGGGAGCCGTCTCTATGTTGAAGGCGATGCCACTGCTCCGTCTCTCGCGGGGGAAATAGTCGTCTTCCGGCCTCAGTGGCGTGGTGGTGATGGCGTTCTCCGGCTCCACCATATGCTCCCGCAGCACCGACATGGAAACTGAAGCACCAGAGCTCCGAAGAGCTTCAACCGCCGTGTGATGTTCTGCTTCGTGGAGGTCCACTCCATTCACCTGCGACGAGCAGAGGGAGTGACTGACTGGTAATGCTGTTCAATGAAAAAGGGTACCATAAAATAGAGGAAGGTTAACAGAACGGTTTTTACCTCTAGGAGTTTGTCTCCCACTTTTACCCCTGCTCTTGCGGCGGGGCCATCTTCAGATACTCTGGAGATGAAAATTCCCTAAAAACACAAACAGAAGATAATTTATTTGTATAATCTATGGCTTCTTTTCTTTTTTTTTTTATCTACTCAGACTCCAGACACACATCTTACCTCATCATCTCCCTTGTAAGGTGTAGATCCTTTCCCTCCAGCAATGCTGATACCCAGGCCGCCAGTCTGTCGCATGATGATCAGCGAGTGCTGCAAGTTGAGGAGGGGGGAGTCAGCACAACTACTAATGAAACCCTCTGAACACCACTCAGCTCAGGACGGATTGAGAGGGAGGAGGGCCCACCATTTTGTTATTTTACAAACAACAACAAAAAAGAGTTGATCTTAAACTGTGATATAAATGATGGGAGACCTCCCTCTTTCTGCCAGAGGGTGGTTTCAGTGTAATCACAGCAGCATCCTCTCACTCATGCTCATAGATGGATGGAGAGACACTTTGACTTGTCTTGAGCCTAAAGTCAGTTTTAAGTGGAAGTTGGACTTTTGTGCCTTTTAATTTAGCTTTAAATGACCTTTTTAGTTAGTATGCTTGCCTTTGTATGTGTACTTAAAACAGCATGGTCAAAAATAATTAGTTTTCAACCATTATCCACTTAACTGACAGTTGACTTCAGACATAAAGCGAACACACTTGTCTAAAGACCTCTTCAATTTAACTCACAGAGGCTTTAGCCTTACTAAAAGCATACAATGTGTCTTGTGTATGTACGGGAGGGGGGCCTTTAAACACCAGGTAAGGCGTAACACTGTGTATATACTGTGTACTTGCAAGCCATGCAAAAAGGGGAGGAATTGCAAACAAATGAGGGACAGGTGGAAGGAAAAAGTAGAAATAAAAGGTGGAAGGAGTATGTGGTGTCCTGGCTGTGAAGACGGTTTTACATTGTAGTGTGGGTACCCGTGCATTTTTTGTAATGAGATGACAAACATTTCTTAAGCAAACAAATCAGACATAAATACAATAGTCTAACAAATACTGGCAGAGACAATTTTCATAAAATACTAAATACCACTTTAAGTTTCAGTTTTCTTCTCCATCAACGAGTATTCATATAAAACACTATAAACAAAATCATGCTAAAAAAAGAAACATATTGTGTAAAAAGATTACCAATGAAGTTTTGAATTTTTCTACAATTGAAAACTTTAATTGAACCCCAAAATCATTTTCATATACTCTCTTTTCTGAAGTGTTTTTTTATCCATCTCGATTGTTTTGGTGTGATGTTTTTGTGTGTGCTTTAAACGCCTTACTTGTAAGCTAATACAGCTGACATCAGAAACACTAGGCAAGGCAACACACACCAAAACAAATAAATAGTAGTAGCAAGTGATAGAAAAACATTGTTTGATTTTGGGGTTAACTGTCCCTTTAAGTCATGACAGCATAACATCTATACAGGTTAACAATTTGAAAATTCGACTGCTGGGGAAGTGATCGTCATCCCTCTTCATCAGTCTTGAGATCCTCTTCTGGTCGTTGATGAGTAACCTACTTTGTACCAAACAGAAGCACCTGGAGGAAGCTGGTGAAGCAGCCCATTCATTCCAGGGCAACACAGCGTGGACAGGGGAGGAAAGGGTGCAAAGCAGCAGGAGCAGGAGAAAGGTGGAGGAGCAGAGATGTAGCGTGGCAGAACCTGGTGCTGGACTCAGATTCATTCTTCTGTGTCAACTGTCAAAGTTTGAGCTATTTTGAGTATTCCCAGCACTTAAGGAAAAGTTGATAAATGACAAATGCCTAAAATGTAGAAACATGAATGTAGAACTTGAGGAAGACGTCACAGCTGTGGGCATCCAGGGGATTCATAATGATTGGGAAAACAGGGGTTCCAACACGTCGACTTTGTCAAAGGTGGTTGATTCTACATGATATGCAATGAAGTGGATATTACCAACAGTCATGTCATCACATATTCTGCTGATACTCAAGAGTTCTCTACTTGATATTTACTTAGCATTGTTTATTCTGTTAATGTCCTTGCAAAGCCCAAAGATTAAACACGATCATTCTGTTTAACTAACAGCCTTTCCCGGAGGCCCCAGTATGCAGGGCTTTAAGGTTAACCCTTTCCTGTACGAACTTAAGACAAATAACTACTAGCTTTAATAAAATGTTACTGTTAGTACCCATTTAACTTTAGTATGTATTGACATTTTGTCCTGTGACTCCTAAAAGGATACACCACACTTCCTACAGATGCACACAAATATAAAAAGGTGATTATATTCATTTTAAAATAACACCTCTTCTGGCCTTTCATGGTAGATCTCACGTTAAGTCATTTGGTCTTCAGAGATGCAACTAAAGGTCTGAGGCTTCACTCAAACTTTTTAAATACAGAAGCATATTTTACAATAGTCACATAATGAGTCCTAATTGAAAGAGATACAGTTGGTCATTACTATAAATAAAAGAAGTGCATGCTAAAATAGTATTAACTGAAGCTGATTGGATACATAGATAGAACTGAACAATGTGTTAATGTCTGGAAATATAGTGTAATCTCCCAGAATGCACTGAAACACAGCATTGTGAATCCTCATTGCAAGGTTACTGTCATGGCTACTAGTCTCCTGCATCCAGGTTCTGCCACACATCTCATGAATGAGTTGTGGTTAGAGGGTCCCTAGTGATTGGCTTGGGTTAACCCTGTGGATTCTGTGGGGACTTTCTCCACCTCGGGATACAGGTGGGTGCATGAGTGGGTGAGTGGGGGACACAGAGAAACAGAGTGGACGGGAAAGAGTATGTACAGACCTCTTCCTCCTCAATTCGAGCAGGTTCAATCAGCAGATTATTGACTTGATCAAATTTCACCCCCTGTTAGGACAGGAACCAGCGAGAGGCATGCGGATTAGTCAGGCCAAAATAAAAATATGCTCACACACACATACTAAAAAAATTAAATTAAAATCCCTTTCTCACACTCTCCATAAACTTCACCAAACACACCCAACACTCCACTGTCTGCTTGCAGGTTGTAGAACCTTCAATCCACTGGGATGGACCCCCTTAGAGCAGAAGCAATGTCACATTCACCCCCCAGCCACCAGAAGCAAATACAGGCAGAGATGGAAAGACAAGACCAAGGAGCTGAGCTACAGGGCAGAGAGAGCGGACAGGAGAAAGCAAAAGCTCCCATACCAGAATAAGCTCAGCCTCCACACCACAGAAAGCAAATTCCTCCAGGGGCAAGCTTTGATTTAGACAAAAAGCCTACTTTGTACAAACAAAAGCTTACAGTTACAGTACATTTACAAATAACCCAAGCTGACTTTACAAAAGTAATTCATAGAAAAATATATATTTGATTAAATGAATTTGATTCAGAAGAATGATGAAGAATCGTACTGTCTATAACAATTCAAACATCCCATAAATGATTATTACCATATTACACAAACAAGGATCGTTGGATCTCACATTCCAGCTCTGCCAATACATGTTCTGGTTGGTCTGAGGTCAGCCACACAAACAGACCCACGTCCACAAACACACACACAAAACAGATTTGGTAAGATGATGATGTTTTCACAGCGCTTAAAAGGATTTCTACAATCAGAATGATAAATCAAATTCTTTTTCATTAAGACCCAAAATAGTGTTGATCGATAAGGAGATTAAGTTAAGTTAAGTTCATTAAGTTTCACCGACGCAGACTTCATTCACACTTACAAACACACACACTGTTATAAGAGCAGAGTTTGAAATGTCATTATTGAATTAAAACAGGAGACGGCTGATAATTGACTGAGAAGTTCAGTTCTAGACTGGGCCAGTGTTGGGGAAGAAAAGCCTGCAGAGGCTTGTGTGGAAGGAATGTTATCATTACAATAAAAGTCTATCTGTTATCTTAATTCTGCAAAAACAAAGCTATTTCATGTGAAAGCACAGAGTGAATTTCTCAAATGTGTCCCTAAGTATGAGACTATACAATAATGTGTCGTTTTGGTTGTTTATGTGTCAAAAAAGTCCTAAATGATGTGAGGTATTGGAAGGCATTATCAGCAATGACCTCTGGGTGTTTGTAGGCGTTTGGTGAAGGACGGAAAGTATAGTTCGGAGACTGTTGCAGAGTTTGTGGTTAAACCACAAACTCCACTCCTGAGAAACACATTACCCTTGATTTACAGCATAGGGTAGTCGCTTCATTTACACAATGGCCCTGCATGCAATGCCACATCCTTAATAAATACTGGCAGCCCACTCCAAACTGAATGCAACTTGCAAGGTGGTGAGGGCACTCTATGCATACAGTATTAAGTGTGTGCATAGATGCAATGAGCAAGCAAAACATATATTCAATTTAAATACATGAATAGAAATGACTGCCTGTCCTGCACTATTCCTTATCCATAGACTAGATTTTTACATGTGTGCATAAATGTTTGTAGGGAAATAAAAAAATGTGCTATCATATTCTTCCCACCTATTCTCCATATGCCTGAAATACACCCTAAGAGTGGTGGGATCGCCCCTTTACCTTTACTAGACTGGAGTTGACCTGGAGCCGACTGTCTTCCAGCGCCTCCATCCTGGGAAGGTGCTGAGGGGTGCACATACCCTGATCTTCCTCTTCCTCCTCCTCCTCCTCCTCCTCCTCCTCCTCCTTCTCCTCTTCCTCTGCAGGCTTTGTGGGAGAGTTCATGCTCTCGGGGTTGAAGCCCTGCAGCAGGGCAGCCACAGTCTCAGGTTTGGGCAGCTTGGTGATCTTGAAGTGCTTCTTGTAGTGCGGCGTGTCCTTTCTGATCAGACGCTGCTTCTCTGCGGGAAACACAGGCCTCTCTTCCTCGTCACTCCTCCCTCCATCTTCCCTGTCCTCCTCGTCGTCGTCATCCAAACCCCGGATGATGGGCTCTTCTGCAAAGTGCACAGTGGGCTGGAGAAAAGAGAAGATTGAGATTGAATTTGAGATTGAAGATGACATGTAACTAAATGTTGTATCATTTTGTAAATATTCACCTCAATGTACTCCACTTCCATCTCGTCCAGCTCGTCATCATAATGAGGGGCGTGGCCATCTACAAGGTCCTCCCTCTGCGACGTCACATTCTGCCTCTCCTCATGCGAGGTGGCCGACAGCGTGCTATTGGACACCTGAGAGTCATGGCTCTGATTGGAGAGGTCACTGAGCCGTTTCTCCTAAATCAAAAAGTTTGATTCATCAGAATATTGTACAAAAGTCATGATGCCTTTTGTCTACTTCCTACAGCAGCAGGCAATTTGTCACAAAATAAGATTAGGGCAAGAAAATAACAAATCTCTAAATAATAACTGTCAGAATAGACACAATAATCAATATACGTATAGTATGTGGTATGTACCTGTGAATCAGGAGACTCTTCATCCCTGGATGTGTAAGCTTCATTCCTCCTCTCCTCAATCACCTTCTTCATCACCTTCAGCTCATTGGGGTGCGGTGTAGCTCTTCGCTGAAGACCCTGAAACAAAGTTGGTAACAACAACTTTAGTCAATCATAATGTTAAACAAGTCAAGGAAAATGTCAGATGACTTTGTGACAGTAAAAATATATTAATTTGGACTTTATGTCAGACTTGAAGCATTATAGTTTTCAATCAAGAACTCAATCAAATGCCAACAGAGATGTAGTATTAAGGCTGATAACTAGAAAGCCAAAACATGTAAATAATCTGAGCAAAATAGCATATATAGAAGATATAAAGTGACACTGTAGTGCTGTGTTTCCTCACTCTGCGCTCTGCAGCAGCCTCATCGTCCTCCTCCTGAGCCTTGGTCTCTTCCTGGAACTGAATGACTGACACTCTGTTCAGGTTGCTGTCCGTCCAGCTGTCGTCCACACTGTTCTGTAGCAAGTTCTCTGTGGAACAAAAAAAGTGTCAAATTGAGTTTCTAGCTGTAGATCAAAGAATCTCTTCCTGAATATGAGTCTCACAATCCATATGTGTTTTACAAGCTATTTCTGGTGAGCTTATTCAATCAAATCTATACACAATAACAAATAGCTTCAAATATAAGGCCGGGAATACAATTAGTCATTAAGGCCTTAGTACAAATGTAGTATTCAAAATAGGGATCAATTGAAGGGATATGATACAAAAGCATGCAAAAAATTATCATTAAATAAAAGTTATGATAAACAATTGATTTAAAACTTTGATGCCGTTTGATAAGCTACATAGAAGATTTGAGAAGCCCTTTAAATGACTGACAAAAGCTTTCTCTATTTGCTGTACGTCTAATAAAATACAACGACGATCCTATAAAAACGTCACATTGTGTTTACTGAGTGCTGCTCACCGAGGCTGGGGGAAGGCTGCTGAGGCAGTAGATAGCAGGTCAGCACCTTCTCTCCTGTCTGCTCATCATCCTCTGTCTGGAACTTGAGCATGGGCTGTGACTGGTTCTCTGCGAGCCACATGGCCTTCAGGTTGAGGTTTGTCAGGGCAAAAGGCAGGTTTTGTAATCTGGACAAAAGAAGAGGTAAGGGATGAGCCGGAAACTTTGAATTCTAGTAGGTTAAATGACATGGTCTTGGATATTTGAAGGGCCATCGCAAAACTCAAACCTTGGTATTTAGAGTTTATGCGACGTTATAATTAATGTGTGTATACCTCAATGCTCACAGAGTAAAATAATTGCAGGGATAACCTCCATAACTCTGCAGACACCTTGCTCCCTTTGGAAATGGGCCACAACTCTTTGACAATGATGCATTTGCTTGAAGTTTTCTAATAGATTATTTTTCCATAATTTAGCAGCAGAGCTTTTGAAAAACTTCCCTACAAGGTTATACTGATCACATTTAACAAGGGCACAACTGCAGGATGCTGGTAATGCTGAAAGTCCATTTTGGCAAAGGCATTCCAATGAAATCTTTGACCTTGGCATTTATAGCTTCCGTGAATCAGTTACAGTGCAGGGTGTTAAGAGAGGTTTACCTATTTCCGGCCACATCCAGCACATGCAGCTCAGTGGCATCTGCGAGCTCAGCGGGCAGTTTGCCCAGGCGATTGTCTCTGAGAGAGAGGACGTTGAGACAGGCACAGCCGCCCAGCTCTTTGGGCACGGTGCCCAAATGGTTGCGGTCTACATTCAGGTTGGTCAGCTTCTTCAGCTTGCCCAGCGAGCGAGGAAGTGACTTTGAGGGAGGGAGAAGAAATTCATTAATATTCAGTGAAAATGATAAATGAGGCTTAATAACTGTTAATTAGACTAAGGTATAAGGCATTTATACATCCCAACTGGGTCAGTGTGATGCTGTATGTGTGGTTTGTATCTCCTTACCTCTAAAAGGTTCTCTGTTAAGACGAGTTCTGTGAGATTTTCACACTCTCCTATTGAATCAGTCAGTTGGGTCAGTCTGTTTTGGTCCACTTTGAAGATAGACAGCTGTTTCAGGCATCCTGGACAAAAACACAATAGCAGTTAACAAACAAGATGGCATTTACACTGACATATTTTAAATGGATCCATGCGCCAAATGAAATTCAATTGAAAACAGAAAAACAGATAACAGGCTGTATAGGTTGAGTTCATTAGCATTATTCTTCCAGCAGAGGGCAGTGTTGTTATTTAAAAGAGCACAGTCTCCATGCACAGTTGGCCTGCTTCTGTTCAACCCTGAGCCTGTTTTTCAGGTCTCAGGCTCGAAAATGACATTCCCAGAACAAATGACCATATCTTCCCTTCTAAAAGGGTTAAATTAATAATCTTTGTTCTCAAAGTAATGATAAACCTGTGAGTTGGATGTAAAAAAAGTCAGAATCAATATAGATGTTTTTTATTTTAAAGAAAATTCAGATTGAACATAGTAAAAAACTGTAAATTATAGTGTCCATCCAAAAATTATTTTTTACTTATAGTGAAAACTACCCTTGGATGATGGGTTAGTAGACTAAAAGCTTTAGGAATCCAAAGTACAACATATAATAAGTACCCTGTATCAAGATTGATGCAAAACAAGTGAAATTTGACCTTTTTAGAGAGATTTAGCACAAAAAAAAACACTTCTGGGGTCATTTGGGTGGATTTTCCATATCTCTGGCCCCCCCTTGGTCGATTTTGACGAATGAAATCTCTTTATAACCGGAATCGAGGGAAAGTCCTAGACACACAAACACGTTACCAAATAAGGAGTGAAAGTGACGTGTGGCCAAAACCAGAAGCTGCATACACTCTGTTGGCTACCATTAGCAGTTAACTTTTTTTCTCCGATTTTTACATAAAAATGGAATTATGGATTATAAATAATTTTTTCAAAGCGACAGACACATTATTAACCGATTCAGCAGCGTTTTTTCTCGTTTTAATGCCATTGAACTCGTCTTTTGATCAGATTGACAGCTACGGTAAGACGATCTCCCGTAAAAGCTTCGTAAAGGTACGTGTTGTGATGTTTGTGTTTGCTTCCCCTGTCGCGAGTTCGAATCGCTCAGTGATGATACTATACCTATATAATCTGTGGAGTCTCAGCTTTAATCGGATATATTGTATGTGCAGTTACGATAAGTAATAAGGGTATCTTTATCTTGAGTTCTGTGCCAAAGTCAGTTTGCATTTTTTCGCTCAGGGGTCATTTAGACCAGGGGTTCTGCGGACCGGTACTGGGCCGCGGCGGTGTTACTGCCGGGCCGTGAAATAGCTGTGAGTTTATCATAATTTTTGCAGAATTATAAATATATAAAAATATTTTATCATAATATTTTTTTCAAAAAGTGTTTAATTTTCGCACCTATACCAGTCATATTATTTCATCCAGTAACCTAGTTAATCTTTCACCAGAAAACCGTTGAAAATGGCTTTTATGATGTTCCGAGGGATTCGGCGGCTCAGCCTGGTCTCAGCCTCTCGTGCACACGAGAAAGTTACCGGTGCGCCAAGTAGGAAGAGGAGCGCACAGGAGACAACCGTTTAATTGCATACCTTTATGTTTATGTGGGGAAATGGCAGTGCATACATTATTTGAGATATATTTCAAACTCGGACTTCATTTTAAGGATATGTCGGCCAGGGGTGTAGAGCTATTTGTTTAAGCACCGGATTGGCAAAACAGGAGAGTAAACCAGTCTGCCTTGATCTATATGAATTCATGTCCGGGACTCTCGTGGTATCTGCTGCCACAGCTGTTTTATAGAAGGAAAACCTCCTTCACTTCATGAAATGGCTGCAGCATCAGGAGGCAGCGGGACGTGTAACTCCGCCTCTGAGAAGTAAAGCACCAGCGTATTCTTTTTTAAACGTTGTTAATATGTTTTGGATGCATATTGTTCTAGTATTTGTTCAGGCTGTTACATAAAATTAGCCTCTGTTGCTACCTGCTGGTGGTAAATATTAAAATCAGTTAAAATTGACAACCGGTCCGCGATTATTTTTTTATGTATCTGCCGGTCCTTGGCACAATAAAGGTTGGGAACCCCTGATTTAGACGCTTCTTATGAGTGTTTTGTTTTGGTAAATATGGTTCACATCTTCAGTTAGTTGAGATTCTTCCCGTTAATCTGGTGCTACACATTAATAGTTTCATAAATGTTAAGAAGCCCTGAGACACAGTCTCGAAAAAAAAAACGTTGGGGGGCTCCAGGGCTTAACAGGAGGAATATTCAAACTACTACTGCCTAATTAGATAGCAAACATCAGAAATACATGGGGTTCTTTGATGTCAACTAATATTGACCTAATTTCTATCTTGCTGTTTGAGTAACAGTTAAAATATTATAATACAGTATTTGCACAGATGACACATTCATAGGGAGCAATGATAGAGATGGTAACTGGGATGGACCTCAACGCGACAACATCTACAAAGGCTTTCTTAATGTTAGCATAGTTATTCTACCGCATAACTATGCTAACATGTAAATCAGCAGTAATTTGTTACTCAAACTGGACTTCTGGGACTGGTACCATAAATAAAACACTTCCTCCACCAAGACAATACTTTTCTTTCCTCCCTCCATGTGTTTTCTCACCTATGCTGTCTGGGACGTCCTCCAGCAGGTTCTGTGTGAGCAGCAGGTCAGTGAGCGCCAGGAGGCCGTTCAGCTCTGAGGGAAGCTCCTCCAGACGATTCTCTGACACATCCAGACACACCAGTCTCCGGAGGTTCCCCAGCTCCTGCACAGACACACAATAAATACCACTTACCACGGACGCCCAACACAACCATTACCTTCACAGCAAAAACAAAGGGAAGAAATCTGGGGCGATAATTCTGCATATGCGGAATTTTGTTTTGTTTATAAAAGAAAGATAAAGGAGATTAATTATAGTTCCTACACATTTCTATGAAAGTGTACTTACTGGTGGTAATGAGGACAACTGGTTACGGTCCAGCCAGAGCTCCCTAAGGTTAGGGAGAGCACCGAGGGTGTCCGGCTAGGAGATGAGACATAGCAGAGAGGAGGAGGAGGAGGGAGAACATTGGGGCAGTTTATTATATTTGGTAATGTTTGAGGTGCAAAGGCAGGGGCTGCATGATTTAATAAACGCATCTGAAAACGGTTTCGCTGGTTAAAGCCACCGCAAACAGATATAATGTGCCCTAAATACACATATCATTTGTAGATACATTTCATGGTTGAAGTTCAATGTCAATTACAGTAAAACATTTAATTTCTTTACAGTCCTAGGATCAGTCTGCTAAATTCTTGAGTATTCTCAAATTGAAGTAGTGCAGTGGCTTATGGCAGGCAGCCTTTCATCATAGTTGTCGAGTGTTTGCTCAGCCTCCACCGTTGTCGGGTCATGCGTTTCCCAGGCTTAGAGCAGGGCTCATTATGAGGTATATGCATGCAGGGCCTCAGGTCTAGCAGACCGGCTCTGCTGCGTTTGGTGAAGTAATCATGTGGTTTGGATTTTAATTATTGTGGTGGGAGTCTGAGAGTGTGCTGCACTGGCAACATAAAATACATTTTTAGGCACAACTGCAGGTGCTGTTAGAGCACTGAGAAGTAGAACTAAGATAAAAAAGGAAGACGAGTTATCTACTTACCAAAACTTCCAGTTCATTGCTGCCCAGGTCCAGCTGTTCCAGTTTAACCAGGAAGGAGAGGGACCTGAATAGACACAAAATAGCATTAGGTCACACTAATATGAGGCCTGAAAGAACAAAGAGCAGAGCTTTGCTTACTATAACGACATAATAATAGATTTATTTTGTTAGCGCTTTTACAAGTGCTCAAAGTCGCTTTACAAAGATAGTGAAAAGAAAAGAACAACAAATAAATATACTTAAAGTCAAATATATATACATAGATATATATATATATATATATATACACACACATACATACATATAGACATACCACACATTCAAACGTAATGACATATGCAAAGAATGTGTTTAAACCTACGTAGCTACAGGTAACCTGTCGTTTCTGTCATGTTCTCACACACTACAATAGATGTTTTCTCAGGCTACTTGATATGTACAGTAGGGGAGTGAGGTTCTAACTAAAAAGTAAACAAGTAAAAGTAATAAAGGAGAATCAGTTTTGACAATTCTTAATGTATTTGAGGTTGTCTTGTTCTGTCAACCGGCACTTATTGTTCTTGATGGAGATGGTGGGAAATTAGATAAGATTTTAACCCTGCATGTGTACTCTACGGAAGGGGGAGATGAGGGAGATGACACTTACGTAGGCAGCGACTTCAGCTGGTTGTCCCTGAGCTCCAACGTCACCAGGTTGGCCAAGCTGTAAAAAGAGGAGTAGCAGTGAAAAGGAGGCAAGAGAAAGAGGGGTAGGGGTAGGAGATGGCAGGTGGTCGGAGGGGAGGGTGGGGGAGTGAGAGAGAGGGGAGAGGAGAGCCAGGTTGGTTAGTCAGATGGTAGGTCTGTTGGAGCGGGCTGTCTGGTATGGTGAGGGTCTCCTCCATCTGGCTGAGCACAGCAGTGGCCCAGAGCCCAGAGAAGGGCTGCCTCACAGCCCACTGGGCAACAGAAGTACACTCCTCAAAAAGCTGCTCAGTCTCTTGATGTCTCAAGGATCTAACTGAGCCCTCGGCCTGTCCACACAGACCAGTGTGATAGCTCGATTAGAGAGCTTTTACAATTTGGCAAAGATTGTAATCCTAAGCGTTCGTCAAGAAGAAGAATTCACAACTGAATATCGATATTGTAATATGAGACTAGATATACTTAAAATGTTTTATTGAGAACACTGTTTTTATTTATCTTTACCCGCTTAGTCATTCACATTAGTGATGATTATTTATCAGAATTCTCATTGTGTAAATATTTTGAGAAAGAATAAATATTCAACCATACAATATCTTCACGATTACCAAATCAATGGATTTGGTCAACGAACGATTTTTTTAGGGATCATAAATTAATGTCTTGCTTTATCCCTTTCAAATACCTTATCACTTACATTGGAAATACGTTTAAGAGGCCTTTATTAGTTACGTTTTGGGGGTGGAAATACAAAAGTAATATGATAAAAAAAAAGTTGATCATGGTGATTATAGTGTCCGTCCAAAAAGAAAACATTACTTATAGTGAAAACCACCCTTGAATGATGGGATGGTAGACTAAAAGCTTTAGGAATCCAAACTATAACATATAATAAGTACCCTGTATCAAGATTGATGCAAAACAAGTGACATTTGACCTTTTTAGAGAGATTTAGCACAAAAAAACACTGTTTTGAACCGTTAGAGCCAATAGAATCTTAGGGGAAGTTCCTAAATCCACCTACACGTTACCATTGAGGAATGAGAGTGATACGCACGCAGCTTGCCCAAACCGAAAGCTATGTTACGCTCTGAAAACTGAAAACTAGGTTATAGCCATAAATATGATGATGGATTATCAGTAATCATTTCAAAGTGACACAGAGACATTGGATTAACCTTCAGCAGCGTTTTATCGTTTTAATGCCATTGAACACAACTTTTGATCAGAAAAACAGCAACGGTGGTACAGCTACGTGGTGTGTTGTCTGGTTTCGCCTTTGCTGCCCTGAGGCTTGGCGTTAGAGTTGTGTTTCGTTTAGCTAAAAATGGTTCATATCGTCAGTTAGCAGAGTTTCTTCCCGTTAAGTGGGTATGACACATTCCTAGTTTGTTAAATGTTAAGAAGCCCTCAGATGTTGTTTCTTGCAGATGTTGCGTTTTTGCCCTGGCCCGGGGGGGCGTGGGGCTCAACAGGTTAAACAATGTGAGTTGGGTACATACTTTCCAATGTCGTTGGGCAATGTCTGCAATGACACGTCGTTGAGTGCCAAGTGAGCCAGCGTTCGCAGTTGAGTGAAACCATCCGGCAATCTAAAGCAGAAAGACGGGGGGGGGGGGGTTTAGAGTTTTGTTGTACAGCACATGGGATCACTTGACTCACAGACATAACTATTAACCCTATACATATTCCCATCTGTTAAAGTATTCAGTATCAACGCTTTATCCAGTCATTTCTATAGGAGGAAGTTAAAAGGTGAAATACCAAGACATCACTGATGAAGGATGTGGAACGACATGCAATCAGAGAGCAATGCAACAGTGAACAAATATCATAGGGATATTCAGGTCACATTTACGTGACAGCAAGCACTGTCATGCAACACAACTGAATGATTTACAGTTTCAAATCAGCCAACTGTACATCAAACACGCAATATGATTCACTGCGCATTGAAAATAGAAAAGAGCAATTAGAGCACATAAATGACACGTAACCATGCTTTGTTTGATTATTCAAAGCTTATGTTCCCCTTGTTGCATCTGGGTAAACATCAGATTTGCTAGCAGGAGTTATGGATGGAGAGACTGGCTGTTACCTGGTGAGGGGGTTTCCGCTGAAGTCGGCGATCTCCAAGGCCCTGCAAAACTTAATGCTCTCGGGGATCTCAGGAATGTCTGCAGGAGAAAAGAGGGGTGTGTGTGGGGGGGGGAGACAGGCATCAGTACCATGGACACACTGATTGAGTGTGGGGGGGAGCATATTCTATAGATTGAATCATTTGAACTTTCTTGTAATCACAACCAGATGGCCACCAGCGGGGAAGTGAGAGAATGGGAGAGAATTGAGACAGAAAGAGGTGCAAATTGACTACGAAGGACACCAGTATTTGCATTTTCCTACCATCAGGTAACAATTGGACAGTAATCGCACATTGATTTGATCCAAGTCGTAATTAAGATAATTGGACTCCTGTCTCTGTAACTGCGTTTCAGCTTTTACTTCAGTGCTCTTGTCTTCATAGAGTGGTGTTCTCATGCGTGGTAAAGTGCAGGATTAAAATAATAAAAAAAGGGAGGGGGGGGCGCCTATTTATACGTGCTGGATGATGTTAAGGCTTCTATTATAGTGCTGTTTCTCAGTTTTGCCTCTGTTCTGTCCCACCTCATTTGCAAACCAAGACAAATATTGCTTCAAAGGGAAAGCAGTCTGCTGTCCTTCAGCTGAAAGGCACCATGATTCTCAAACATATAGCTTGTATCATAAAAGCAATAATCTTCTAACTCACTAGATAAGAGCTTAAATGAGTGCTTCCCAAACACTGTGCCTCGACTGACGGCACTTTACCCCCTTATAAAGATCTAGACTGTGCCAAGACAGACTAGGGTTGGCACTAAAAGATATCTAACCGATGGAACTCGGTAAAGACTTTTATCACTGGATATTGCAGGTGCAAGTTGAGAAATCCCTGCTGAGTGAAGCAGCCTCATCTGGCTCAGCGTGGTCCTGCGGCAGGAGCCAGCAGACAGATGGGAAAGGCTCTCACAGGCCACTGCACACCACAGATGATGCAGTGTGTTGCACAGCAGATGGCTCTCACCTACCATACAGGCCCTTCCTGCCTCGGAGTATCTGGGTGTTTGGGTGCAGCATGCAAGGACACCGAGAGGGCAAGATGTGTATGTCTGAGAGTGTGTGTGTTTGTGTGTGGTTACAGTTGAGAAATTAAATAGCTGCCAAAAGTTAAATGAGTTTCACCTCATGTCTCAGGGAAAATGAATGCTGATTTTTTTGGTTTGCATACGTTATAGGAATATTTCAGGGGCATAGACATTCATGTATGAGTATGTCGGTTGTGTCCTGGGGTTAACTGAATAATCTGGCAGCTGATATGTATCGAATGGCTGCTGCAAGTGTGTTGATTCCCTAGCTAGCTCGAGTCATTTTTACAATCTCTAAAGTAATTGCGTGATAATGGGTGGTCTAACAAGCAGAGATTGTAGAGAAACACACAGTGAACTTGTGAATGTTTTGTGTACCATTTCTGGAAATGTCAAGCTCCACCAGCTGCATGAAGTTGGCCACCTCGGGGGGGAGTCTCTGGATCTCATTGTCACTGAGGCCGAGCTTCCGTAGGTTAAGTAGTCTGAAGAAAGGCTGGGGAGACATAATGACATGTCAATCAAAACAGAACTTTAAAAGAAAATGTCATTCAATCCCACCATGATGTTTTCTTTTTAAAACTGTAACTGCAGAGTTTAAAATGATATGTTAAGATAACTGACTGTTATTAGTGTTTTCAATGTCGCTTACATTTCTGTCTGCCTTAACCAAACCTGAACACAAAGCATTCTGTACATTCAAATGAGGGCCATTTCCGGGACTGGTTTTTAAAAAAAAACATTCCATCGTCATATTCCCAAAACCTCCTCCTCACCATAGCAACACCAACCAAACAAAGTGGCTTTGGATGGGAGAGCTGAGAAGAGTGCTGCTGCTGTAGCCGTGCCAAGTGCTTTCACAAGAGGCTGCTTGTTGGACGGGACAGCGTTCAGAAGCATTCCTCCGCCAGCCGCGCTGTGTGTGTCTGCTTGTGTGTGTGTATGTGTGTGTCTGTGTATCATCTGCCGTTAAGATGGACAGACAAGACAGGCTGGCGAGGAACAGCAGGAGTCACTATGCAGTGATTAGCCCCTCAATCAGTCCGTGGTTCCGCAGCCCACAGAGGACCCACTGTCTGCCCGTCCACTCCTCAGACACTCAGGCTCTTGAGAAACCTGCTGACTTGCACTTTCTGGAGTAGGAATTTGTATAAACTCATTATTCAGGGATGCTTTCTGACATAGGGGGCAAAGATGTCTGCGAGCTTGGAGCCTAAACATTCATTCCAATTAAACCTGGTTAAACAACGATTGTGTGTCAACGCCACAGATAAATATCTTACCTACTCCTTGGTGACTGAGATTTTAATTTTGAAAATCTTGCACTGCTGCTTTACTGTTTCCAAACTATTTTATAAATATGTGTGAAGTCAGAAAGCACAGAACATTTGACAGAAGTGTGAAAACACGCATACAGTACACACAGTCCCCTCAATACAACATGCTGGGAGACAGCTCTTCAATCATGCTGTCAAAGAGAAGAATGCTCCAGCTCAGCTCCTCTCTGTTCCTCTGTGACAGACAGTTCCTGCTCTTAACTAGTCATGTGTATTGTGTTTGGATCGGGAGTGTTGTAGTTACATCATCATGGTTATTTTTTCCCCCAGCATCTGTTTGAGGTTTGCTGGAAGTGCAAGATGGAACTTGTCAGTCAGGACTTTCCCAAAATGCCCAAAATGTCCCAGCTGGTAGTTCGTACTAGCTTCCCCACCTGACAAACATAAAGCAAGGGACAGTGGTAGAGAGAGACAGGGGGTGTTTGCTCACTGAGGAGCAGGTGACAGGTATCAGATGACAGGAACAGGAAACAGGAGCCGGGGACAACCATGTGACCGGGGCCGAGCCCAGATGTGAACGGCCCCCAGGAGGGGAGGCGATACAGGCATAACAGGTGACGCTCCAAGACTGTAAGCCTCTCGGGAAAGTGTGTGTAAAAAAACACACGAAACAACTCAGATAGAAGAACACACCTTATGTTAACTTCCCATGGTGAGGCAGTACTCTAGTAACAAAGCATGACCAATTCTTAAAATCCAGCTTAACCAATAACTTGATCTTTGCATCAGTGAATTCATGTCCTCTCTCGATAGCTTCCATAGCTCTAACAGTAGTGACGGGAACGCTAATACAACCAAGCTTGAAAACAAGTAATTATGAACACTCACATAGATGGCCATTCACTACCGAGTGGCCGCTCCTCACACACGATGCTGTAAACAAACTGTACATGTAATACATCTGTTCTTTGTACTTTAAGAAAAGTCAATAACTACTAATGAAATCATTGTAAAGTGGATTTGATGTTCCTGCCGCTTCCCACTGACTGATGGACGTTCAAATGAAACAATGGCGACCCAGCAGTGTTATACGGGTCAACGGGTCAGTTGGAATAACAAGCGGGAGCGTTGGGATTTAGTGTACCGCCACCGTCTTTTCATTGTATTAGTGAGCAACAACAGTCTGCTCATTGGCTCAGGCAGTTTTTACAGGACTGTGTGTGTGTGTGTGTGTGTGTGTGTGTAACCATTTATAGAGTGAGGCGGCACGTTGGTTAGAAGCGGTGTGCTACGTTTCCTTTACAACTTTGTAACTGGGATGGTTTCATTAGGGCCTTGTGAGAGTTGTTTGGAAGGGAGTGAAACTGTGAACAGGAGGATGTAGTAGTGTGGAACAGAAAGGAGTGAGAGGGGAAGTAGATGAATGATAGCCATGTCAGCAGAGGGCAGTGTGGGGTCTCGAGAGCACACTGCCAACTTACAAACTAACATCAGAATATTTACTTTATAACTGTTTTGCTCATTTTAAAGAAAGGTGATAATAAAATATTTGCACCACACAATGTATACTTAAAAAGGCATGCAAATACTTGCTGTTTAAAACTGAAACAAGCAAGCATCCAAACTGAAAAATCAATGGGTCTAGTTGGAGGTTTTTGTTTAGTTTTAAACAAGATTTTCTTTTTTTGAGGACAGCTTTTGCAATGACTACACCACAGAGGATGAATACAAGTAAGAGTCACACCAGTTCCCTTCTAAACTGCTTTTAATTCCAGAGACAAAATCAGTGGGTATATACCATTAATGGTGGTTAAGGCAGCTATGACAACTGGACAGATTGTGTAGGACTATAAGGTTTCCCATAGGGGGGGGATTGGGTCTGTGTAACATCCACAATGTGACCAACTCAAGCTAGTGTGAAATGAGTTCTGTGGTGTGGGTACTACTTATTTGAGATATCCCCCATTATTAAAAAAGTGAAGGAAGCCGTGTCACCCATGGGTAACCTATGAGACAGATAGCTGTGTGTGTGTGTGTGTGTGTCGATGGACACACAGAGGCCTCACCACAGACACTCTGCACTTCAGTGAGCGTGTGTGCAGCATCGCAAAACGCTCTGCTTTGTCTTATCTCCCCTGCTCTGCTTCCATTCCACTCAGGCAGTGTTAATGTGCCACAGGTCAGGATGTGTGTTTTTATGTGTGTGTGCATGTGCATTTTGCAGATGTCCACAGGAGAGAGGATCCTGTGCTGTAGGTCTATAAGTCAGCACACACACCAATGTTTACAGAGTCTTAGTTTGACTTTGGTTAAGGTTGCCAGGAACTCTGGCTTTCAGCATGTGTGTGTCAGGGGGGGAGAGAGCGGTATGGTAACGTTCATATTCGTGTGTTCATGCGTATTAGCAGCGGTGGGTGTTTGTTTTAGAGTGTTGAAGAGACTGTAAATTCACAGGGTGGAATGTTAATGTTTTGGACCTCACAACACTCAGAGAACCCAATTAAAATATGACCACAGATATCAAAGAAGCATGTCAGTGACACATGTGAGTAAACTGTATGTTCCCTGTATGAGTAATGTCCTACTGTATGTGCAGTGAGCCGCAGACTGAACTTGACAGAGGCTGCAGTCAAGTGACTCCAGTTAGCTTACGGTTTCCCTCCAATCATGCCCTCAGACTACAGAGAGAAAGAACGGGCTCCTACTGCCCTGCAAACACACACACATTAAATCCAACCTCCCACTTCGGAGCACATTTAGTGTGCAGGAGACCGTACAGTCACCCCAGATTTACAAATCCATGGTTGCCCCAATTCATTAACCTAAGGCCAAATGTGTCTATTCAAAAGTTATTGCTAGTGGTACTGCAGAGACAATGGTCTAATGTTGGAATTCTGTGAAACAAAAAGAAGAAGAACTGAACTGGTCCTGTTTCAGCTTGCCTACGGAGGTATTTGATCAATGGACCCACTCATCTCCAAATGTACTGTGAAAATGGCAAGTGGAATGACATCACCAAACATCTCTCATCTATTATTTCCATTAGCCTACTTTTTACTCCAACATGCTTCCTTCTCTCTATAAATGAAAGTCCATTTCACACATTCCCCAGCTTCTTAATGTTGTGCCAAATCTGCCCGCTGCCCTAGTCTGCATGTTCCCACTCTTCCCAATATCAATTCCCTCACAGTGCACACACACTACTGGGGTGAGGGGCTCAAAGAGAGGGGAGGGGAGAGCACAAGCTTTTGTGCTGGCCTGGACTCTTTCAGTGTCCGGGGGAAATAAAAAAGCCAAGAGGATTTGGTTGACTGAGTAGCTTGCTCTCAAATGGCGAGCCTCATTACTGCACACTCGTTTCTATAGATAGCCGCAGCCATTGTTGTGGTATAAACTCAGGACGTGAGTGAGCAGAGACACAAGGGAGCTCTGCATTGACCGTCACTTTAACTCAACTTCTTCAGTGCAGTTATACATTTAAACGCACAAGCACCAGCAAGAATTTATGCTCAGTCATCTCACGGCTGATGCTAATGGCAAACATTGGTCAAACGACCCACTCCCCCTTATGACCACAGTTTGAGACCCAAACTTCCCAAAACTTCCACACATGAATGACACCCCAACTGGTCCTCTTCCCCTCCCTCCTCCCCACTGCTCTCTCTGCTGCTCCACTTTTCTGCGTTCCCTCCATTTTCCTTGGCAGAAGGACAAAGGCCAAACAGCCAGGCCCACACATGAGTGTCAAGTCTCTGGCCAGCTCTACATGCCCCCACCCCCTGCAGCCCAGCCAGGGGATTCCTCCATTGTCCGACAGGACACCACAGAGAGGAGAGAGAGGGCTGGAATTGGAAGGATGGAGACTTGAAAGAGGAATGCTGCAAAGGATAACAAAAGGAAGGAATGACTAAGAAGGAAAGTGGGGAGAGGAGTGCAGAGAAGAAAGGGTGTGTGAAGAGAAGAGAAAGGGAGTGACGGTGGATTATTAATGAGGAATAGAGGGTAAACAATGGATTCCCACAGTGATCTGGACATTCTAATGGGAAGGAAGACTTCACACACTGACCAACATATTACCTCACTGCCCCTTTCCATTAAAGATGAATAATATCATTTATTCATCCAAACCAAAACAACTGTCATTAAAAGTGGTTAGGTCTAGTCCATTGTGGTCCATTTGCAATGTAAAGTACAATACTCCCATTGGCCTCACCATTAA